CTTAAGAAAGACAGAGACTAACCTTTCTATTTCAAAAACAAAGAAAAAATAAAAGAGGCTAGGTGTGGTGATAACATTTTATCTCTAATCCCAGTCCTCAGGAGACAGAGCCAGATGGATCTCTCTGTGAGTTTAAGGCCAGCCTGGTCTAAATAGTGAGTTCTAGGCCAGCTATGGCTACAAAGTGAGATCCTGCCTCAATAAATTTTTTGAAAAGCTGTGATGCTCTCTCTCTCTCTCTCTCTTGCCAGACCATCTTACTTAAAGGTAGCAAATAAAAGCACATATTAGGCAAGTGATGTAGGATGTACTTCTCTATGCTGTCTCTCTCATTGGTTGGTGAATAAAGCTGTTTTAGCCAGTGGCCAGGCAGAATAGAGCCAGGTGTGAAATCCAAACAAAAATACAGAGAGAAAGAAGGCAGAGTCAGGGAGACACCATGTAACCACCAAAGGAGTAACATGCCAGGGCATCACTGGTAAGTCATGGCCATGTGGCATTAATACACAGATTAATAGAAATGGGTTAGTTCAATTTTGAGAGCTAGCCAGTAATATTCCTGAGCCATTGGCCAAACAATTGTAATTGATATTAAGCCTCATAGTGTTATTTCATAAGCGGCTAAGGGGACCCAAGAGCAGGAAAGAAACCAGTTCAGGGGGATCAGTGGGATAGAGAAAAACATTCAACTACAATTGGCATCCAATGTGAGCATGTATATCCACATAAAGGCTGAGAAAGTTTTAAAAAGGGCTTCTAGACCCACAAAAATGGGAGTCAAGTGTCGCTTCTTGGTAGTTGCATTTCTTCAGATAGGATTGGTTTGCTGGCCCAAGCAGAGATGCAGCTTCTTTAAGAGACAGGTTTCTGGTTCATGTTGGCAGCACGGACGGCTCTGGTTCTTTCTCTTTCAGCAGAACCTGCTACAGAGCACTTAACTGGGGTTTGTGCATGCTTCAAGATGCTTAACAGCAACATGGACCTGCTGCGTTCCTGAGGTGGGGTGGTGAGCATGGCTCCAGAGCTGGTGGTGAACACACCTCTGCCATATTGGATGGGGTGGAGCCAACAGGCAAAGCTGCAGTATTGGTCCTAGCCATGCCCACTTAGCATTTTAAAAAAATGCTCTTTGGATAGAGGAGCAGGGAATCACATAACTTAATTAAGGGAACCACCTTAGGGTTGGTAAGAGACTTGAACCTAGAGTGGCTCCCAGGTGCCCAAGGCAATGTCCCTAGTTAGTTCCTTGGGCAGCTGAGGATAGGGAACCTGAAATGACCCTATCCTATAGCCATACTAATGAATATCTTGCATATCACCATAGAACCTTCATCTAGCGATGGATGGAGATAGAGACAGAGACCCACACTGGAGCATTGGACTAAGCTCCCAAAGTCCCAATGAGGAGCAGAAGGAGAGAGAACATGAGCATGGAAGTCAGGACCACGAGAGGTGCACCCACCCACTGAGACAGTGGGGCTGATCTATTGGGAGCTCACCAAGGCCAGCTGGACTGTGACTGAAAAAGCATGGGATAAAACCGGACTCTGAACATGGCGAACAATGAGGACTGATGAGAAGCCAAGGACAATGGCACGGGGTTTTGATCCTACTTCATGTTCTGGCTTTGTGGGAGCCTAGCCAGATTGGATGTTCACCTTCCTAGACCTGGATGGAGGGGGGAGGACCCTGGACTTTCCACAGGGCAGGGAACCCTGACTGCTCTTCGGACTGGAGAGGGAGGGGGGGAAGAGGGGGGGGAGGAGGGGGAGGGAAATGGGAGGCTGGGAGGAGGCAGAATTTTTTTTTCAATAAAAAAAAATAATAAAAACAATAATAAAAAATGAAAAAAAATATTATATCACCAGTAAAAAAAAATGCTCTTGATCAGAAAAGGATTACAGATATGCAATAGAACATATTTAGACAAAAAGGGGGGGAGGCCTCTAAAAGGGCCACAGTGTGTTTGATAAATGTGCATGGGCTTGAAAGAGAGAGGATAAAAGAAAGAGTCAGAGATATAAAAGTAATTTAAAGATGATAAACTAAGATTCTTAAAAGAAAAGAGTAAAAAAATAATGGGCCATGGATTGTGGAGGCCCATTTAACTTTATGTGTTAAACCAACATAAAGTTATCTTGAACTCAAAATTTGTGTCTCAGGATATGTTGCTTTGGAAAAGAGGTTCTACTTTTGTTTCCACGGAATATAAGAACCTGTGGATTGCTTCCAGATTAATACAATTTGATAAAACAAGACCCCCTGAAACAATGGCCCAGGTGATCCAACACTCACAACAGCTTCAGGACTGCTGGCTGAGATGAACTAACCACACAGGATGCCCCAAATAAGATTTAACCATAATTCTAAATTTTCTCAGGATCCCCATAAGATTAACAACACCCAATCAGCAGCAAGTAGTATAAAAACTATGACCAAATTCCCAAAATATTGTTTATGAATGTTTGTTTTCATTTAAAGGGGGCTGGTTATAAATGATTGATGGTCATAGTCAATCTTTTATCCTAAAGAAAAAAGGGGGATGATATAGAAATGAATACTTTCCATTGGTATGGATTTTGGTTTATTGATACAAATTTAAGATCAATTTTGCTATACTATATGTATATTTCTACTCTTGTTTAAATAATTATGTTTATGTAGTTCATTTAAAAATGTACCAGTCATCTATAACAGTCAAACTTATAGACATGTTAGTTAGGTTTTCTAGATATTCAGAGATATATTTCAGATGGATAGGTAATCTTCGAAAACTCAACGACCTACAAAATATGGCATTTAAAATGCTTTAAGAATTTAGACTTTTCTCAACAGTGAGACACATGTGCTCCTGGCAGCAGCAATTACTTCAAAGAGGATGATGGGCATCGAAGAAACTCATTATGGAGTTTTCCTTCAGTGGGGCAAGAAACTGCTCTTGCCTGCACTGCTTGACTGTATGCTATATAAACTGGATAAGCGGGACCCATGGGAAAGTGAGTGCTGAATTTGAAGATGGGACAGTCCTTCAGGATTCCTGCTTCATGGAAGAGTCTGCCAGACATTCTGCAGGGCACAGAGGAAACTGACTGGCAAACTACGAATACAGATGGGACAGTTTCACATTTCCTGTTTCACTGAGAAGTCTGGTAGACACTCTAGGCCTATAGGCTAAAGATGGATGCCCCAACATTACAGAATAACTGTAGGTGACTGTTTCTATCATTTCTAGAGTTTTAAAAGTTGCTTATAATGCACTTCCAGTTTACTTAAGTAACATTATATTCTTCTGGGATCTTTATATATCTATAGCTTTCCTTAGTTATGATAAAAGATAAATTAGACATGAAACTTTAGGTTAACAAAGATAAGATAGATGGCAGAGTATTTTCTTTAATTTTGTCAAATATAAAGAAACTGGATATTGCAACTGTAATTCTTGCTTGATACCTGTTTTGTTATATGTAATTTTCCTATGTTAAAGTTAAAACCTGGGCTGAAGAGATGGCTCAGAGGTTAAGAGCATTGCCTGCTCTTCCAAAGGTTCTGAGTTCAATTTCCAGCAACCACATGGGGTCTGTAATGGGGTCTGGTGCCCTCTTCTGGCCTGCAGGCAGACACACAGACAGAATGTTGTAGACATAATAAATAAATATTTAAAAAAAATAAAGTTAAAACCTTCCATTTTTAATTAGACAGAAAAAGGAAGATAATGTAGCTGTGAATATGTGTCTCTCTCATTGGTTGATGAATAAAGCTGTTTCAGACAGTGGCCAGGCAGAATAGAGCCAGAAATCCAAACAAAGATACAGAGAGAAAGAAGGCAGAGTCAGGGAGACACCATGTAACCACCAAAGGAGTAACATACCAGGGCATTACTGGTAAGTCACAGCCATGTGGCATTAATACACAGATTAATAGAAAAGGGTTATTTTTATTTTGAGAGCTAGCCAGTAATATGCCTGAGCAATTGGCCAAACAATTGTAATTGATATTAAGCCTCAGAGTATTATTTCACAAGTGGCTGTAGGAACCCGTGAGCAGGAAAGAAACCAGTTCAGGGGGCCAGCGGGACAGAGAAAACATTCAACCACAGCCAAGTATAGTAATTCGTGCTTGTAATTATAAAACACGGAAGGCCGATACAGCAAGACTGCTATAATTGAGGCCAAGGCTTGCTTACAAAGTAAGTTTGGGACCAGTCTAGACTATAGAGTGAGACCCTGGATCAAAATCTCAAAATTCACCAAAATCAGGGCTGGCAAATAGCTTAGCAGGTACAGTGCTTGCCACCAAGCTTAACATCCTTATTTGAACTTCTAACCCTCCTGCCTCCATCTCCTCAGTGCTAGGATTACAGGGCTGCATCACCACACCCTGTCTTCGTGGTGCTGGGGACAGAACCCAAAGGCGTCCTGCATACTGGGCAAGCGTTCTACCAGCTCAGTCACATTCCTAGCTATGATCTGTTTTTGAAATATTATTCTGGGTGCAGTGTCATGAACAGATTGGAGAGAGGCTGCAACAGAAGTGAGAAATTCCAGTCAGAGCCAAGCAAGAGATAAAGAGCTTGGACTAAGGGGTGGCAAAGGCGTAAACAAGCATGCAGACTGCAGATAAAATTAAGACTCACGGAGGAACTACAGAGAAAATCAAGACCAGTCAAAGGATGGAAACAGGCACAATGGCCAGATTTCTAGCTTTAGCACCAAATGGATAGCAATTCCATCTGCTAAAATGGAATAGGACTGGTGAAGAAACCTATTTTGTGGGGTTAAAAAAAAGTTTAAAATCTAAGTTAGAGATGCTTTCAGGCACCAAAATGAAGGTATCAAGCACACAGAAGTCTGTAGCATAGGGAAGGTAGATGTGCACCAGAGGGTCCAGTGGACTTCCCATGCGAAATAGTTCCAGGCGGACAGGAGAATAACCCGGTGCTTCCCTCCCTCAGTATGTTCCTAACACACTCCAAAACGGAAGTTTCAAAGCGCAAAACATACCTCTCCTTGAAAAATAGTATAGAGTGCAGGCAAGTTTTCCATGGTCTCAGGCCTTCCTGAATTCATCCTTAATATTCTACGGCTCCTCCATTTCTCTTCTGCTAAAGCTAATTCAAACGTCCTTTCAGAAAGAAACAACAATTAGACATCTGTATTAATGAGGGGTTGGGGATATGACTCAACCATTAAAGAGTCTACAGCACAGGCACGAGGACCTAAGTTTAGATCCACAGTAAGCCAGGCACAGAGGCACATGACTGTAACCCCAGGGGTAGGGGACAGACAGATGGATCCCAAGAGATTACTCACCAGATAGACTGATGAGCTCTAGGTACAATGGGTGTGGTGGTTTGAATAAAAATGACCCCATAGGCAAATAGGGAGTGGCATTATAGCCGGTATGGCTTTGATGGAGTATGTATGATCTTGTTGGAAGAAGTGTGTCACTGGGGGTGGGCTTCGAGGTTTCAGAAGCTCAAGCCCAGGCTCAGTGGCTCTCCTCTCTCCCACTGCCTGCAGATCACGATGTAGAACTCTCAGCTCCTACTCCAGCACCATGTCTGCTGCATGCTGCCATGCTTCGCACCGTGATAATGGACTGAACCTCCCAACCAATAAGCCAGTCCCAAATAAATGTTTCCCTTTATAAGAGTTTCTGCAGTCATAGTGTCTCTTCACAGAAACAGAAACCCAAACTGGGACAGTGGGTGACTGTGTCCCAAAAGGTAAAGAGGCCAAGAATGGTGGTGCACACCTTTAATCCCAGAAGCAGAGGCAGGTAGATCTCTGTGACCTTGAGGCCAGCGTGGTCTACAGAATGAGTTCCGTGATAGCCAGAGATATATAATGACACCCGTCTCAAACAAACAAGAGTAATCAAGGAAGACAAACATTGACCTTTGGCCTCCACACATGCATGTACACCCACATACACACTTGTATGAACATACACATAACACACATATACAATAACTAATGGGGCTGGATATGGGTGTTAATGTCAGAGAAATTCCCTAACATGCAGCATGAAACTGTAAGTCATCCCCAGAAACACAAAGAAAGAAATGTGCAAACAGTCCTTTACATGGATAACTTCCAAAAAATAATGCCGTTAGAACACACCACGCATGCACTCTCATCCACATCTCAGTATCCTACTTGTGGCATTTGGGAATCTGGATGGCTCTTCTTTCTGACCTGTTACTTAACCAAAGTCATTAAGGTATTGGATTTTCAGGTAAGTAGAGGTTTTGTTTGTTTGGTTGGTTAGCTTATCTAGGATGTTGTCATTTCTTCAATTTTATTTGTATTTATTTGCATGTGGTGTATGGGCATGCCTATGTATTAGTGTGCCTGCCCACATGTGTTCATGGAGGCCAGAGATGTCAGGTTCCTGCTCTATCCCTCTCCATCTTATTCCCTTGAGACAGGATCTCTCACTGAACCTAGAGCTAGGGTGGCAGTCACTAAGCCCCAGTAAGCCCTGCTTCCTTCCCCTTAGCACGGGATTTATACACATAAGTAGCCATAGTTGGCTCTTTATGTGGACTTGGGGGTTTTGAACTCAGGCCCTCATCATCACACTTGCACAGCAAGTATCCTTAGCTGCTGAGCCATCTTCCTAGTCTAGTTTTTTGATTTTTGAGACAAGAGTTTTCCTAACTAGCTCAGGTTGTCCTTGAACTTGTGCATCTGCCTCCATGGTGCTGGAATTACAAGCCAGAGCTACCACGCTTGGCTTTGATCAGGATAGTTGCTTGTTCATTTATGGTAAGACATAACAAATCTAGAACTCTGCACAGGCTAAGCAAGACTTGACCACTGAACTGCATCCTCCCTAACCCCGTCACCACTATTTTGAGATGAGGTCTCATTACATTGCCCAGGCTACACCTAGATTACTGTTGAGCTCCTGAGATGAAGCAATCTTCCTACCTCAACCTTCCAAATAACTACTACAGGCATGGGCCATCACACCTGGGTGGCTTCATTCTTTTTATCACTACTGTTGTTATTTGTTTATCAGGGGAAGACTTTTGGAAGAAAGAGTATGTGTGCCTAGATCTGAAAAACATCAGAAAGAAGCCAGTGGTGAAGGATGTTTTTAATCCTAGTATTTGGGAGGCAGAAGTAGACCTCTGAGTTTGAAGCCAGCCCGGTCTATAATAACCCCAAGCCAGCCAAGGTTATACACTGAGACTGTGTCTCAAAAAAACAAAAAACAAAAGCCAGACACAGTGAACACACCTCTACTCCCGACACTTGGGAGGCAAAGGTAGATGGATCCCTGAATTTAAGGCCAGCCTGGTCTACAGAGTGAGTTCTAGGACAGCCAGGGCTACACAGAGAAACCATGTCTTGAGAAACAAAACAAAAGGCACACTTGTCAGAATGGTAATAAGGAAAGAACACAGTGTGTCTCCAGACAGAGGTTCTATTCTGATCATGCACTTGCATGATGAAAAGCCTCTAAGCTTAGATCGCTAAGCTTAGGCTGAAAACCTAGCAACTAAGCTGGGTGTAATGGTTCCTGCCTGTAATTTTAATAATCCCAGCACTTGGGAGGCCTAAGGCAAAAGACAATCATGAGTTTGAGGCTAGCTTGGGCTACGTAAAGTCTGAGGCCTATGAAGGGGATATAGCTCAATAACAGAGTACTTGCTTAGCATGTCTGAGTACTGAAGTGGGGGAAAAAGAACAGGAAGTCCGAGGATAGCCTGAAATACATAGTGAGACCTTGTCAGAAACAAACACACAAACAAACCTAGCAATGGTAAAATTTATTTGATCCCAGAGTCTAATGATCTTGGTCAGTATGCTAGACATAAATCTGAAAAACATTAAAAAGAGAAGCCTTTAATCCCAGCTCTTGGGAGGCAGAGGCAGGTAGCTCTCTGAGTTTGAAGTCAGCTTGGCCTACATACTGAGCTCTAAGCCAATCAAGGTAATACAGTAAAAAAGGAAAATTTGTCTCTCTTTTATTTTATGTATGTTTGTGCAGGTGTCACAAAAACTAGAAGAGAGCATCAGATCCCCGGGAGCTGGAGTTAAAATTGGTTATGAGCCACCCAATGTGGGTGCCGGGAACTGAACCCTGGTCCTCTGGAAGAGCAGCAAGAGTTCTGAGCAGCTAAGCTGTTCCCAGACCCTCTGTGGGCTTTTTAAACTTAAAATATACACCTTTGGGGGCTGGTGAGATGGCTCGGGCATAAAGTGCTTGCCATGCAATTATGAGAACCTAAGTTTCATCATCCCCAGCACCCAAGCAAAGAAGGTAGGCACAAATATGCAGGCTTGTCATGCCAGCATTCCAGCACCTGCAAGGCAGAGGCAGAAGGGTCCCTGGGGCACGGTGCCTAGTATCTAGGTGAATCAGTGAGTATCACATGTACTGAGAAATACTGTCTCAATAAAGCAGACATCAATCTCCATACATACATATGCATGCCCACCTGCACACAAAACATGTACACACAAATAAAAATACATAGGATGGCAGCTAATCTGTCCGTTCTTGAGAAATGACTTATAAACAAGTTATTTTTAAGTTTTATAGTCGTATTGAATCCCGCCTCTCTTATTTCCAGCTGGGTGGTCTCATCCCCAGACTTGCCCTTCTTCTTACCCAGCATCCCTTGGCTCACATGCCAGGACAGGTGTTAGTAATTTTAACTCTATGGTTCTATTAAGAGACCTTCATTAATCCCTACAACATTTGGAAAACTAATTAGTGAATATAGAATCTGTAATAGCACTGGGACATCTAAAATGAGGGCAGACACAGTAATTCCTCCTGTTTCAGTTTCTCTCCACACAGTCATGGAAAGAGCGATACATGAGGAAACAGAGCTAAGCTGTTTCTGCAGAACTAGGCTGTGAGAGAGTGACGAGGGCTGGAGAGACAGCTTTAGTGGGTAGGAACACTGGCTGCTCTTCCAGTGGAGCCAGGTTCTATTCCCGGCACCCACTTGCTGGCTCACAGTATGTGTAACTCCAGTCCCAGGGGATCTGATGCCTTTTTCTGAAATCTTCAGGCACATGTATGAAGCACATACATACATTTGGGAAAAACATTCATACATATAAAATGATAATTCTAAAACACAAAAAAATTCTAAGTAAGAGTATGAAGAACCATCATCTAAAGCTTTCTTTTCTTTCTGACAAATTCTAAGTAGCCCTGGCTATCCTGGAACTCTATGTAGACCACACTAGCTTCAAACTCACAGCTACCCACTGCCTCTGCCTCCTGAGTGCAGGGATTAAAGGTGTTCAACCCAAACTCTGCCTAAAGCTTGTTGGGTTTTTTTTTTTTGGGGGGGGGTCTTGTTTTTCTTTTTGCAGTACTAAGGACTGAGCAGAGGTTACATCCCCAGGCCCTGGCTTTGTAAAGCTAGAATCTCACTATGTAAGGGCTAGAGAGGGCTCAGAGGTTGAGAGTACACATTACTCTCTCAGAGGACTTAGGGTTTTGGTTTTTACCACCTACCTGGTGGTGGCTCACAATCATTCATAAGAGACCCAATGCCTTCTCAGACTGCTGCTAGGACCAGGCATTCATGAGATACAAATACATGTAAGTACGTGCACTCAGGAGGCAAAAGCAGGTGGATCTCTGAGTTCAAGGCCAGCCTGATCTACACAGTGAGTTCCAGGGCAGACAGAGCTACAGAGTGATACCCTATCTGAGGGAGGGGAGGGAAGAAAAAAGAAATGCCCTAAAAACTTGTCTATGAGGCATTTTCTCAATTGAGATTCCCTCCCTTCAGATGACCTTATCTTCTGTCAAGCTGACATGAAACCAGTCAGAACACTCACACACATAAAATAAAACAAATATATTTTTAAAAACATCAAAAAGGAAAAAAGACTACTGCTATGTACCCCAGGCTGGCTTCAACTCAAACTCCACTCCCCTGTGCTGATATCCCAGGCATGAAGCATATCTGAGTCCCTGTGCAATGTGGGGAGAGGGACGAAATGTGTCACTCCAGCAGCCTGGTACGGGTTGGAAACCATAGCGTTGCCCAGGCTAGGCTTGGTTTTGTAGCCATGCTCCTGTATCAGCCTCCAGTGCTGGCATTAAGACCATAATCCTCTCTTGTATCCAGTCCATCACCAAATCCTATGTCATTTCCTTCCCAGCTGTCTGAGATACTGTTAAACTGTCTCATCTCAGCTTGGTTCTCACTGGCATGGAAGATCAGAACTACTGTGCATTCCCACAACGTGGTCTCCAGTAAACCTCTCCTCATCTCTCCAATCTCAACACCATTAAGGCTGAAGGAATGAACCATCTCCTCCCCCACATTCCACACCCTGGAGGGGAGACAAAACTTTTGCTGCTTTCCTATTAATTTTAAAGTTAACGCTACAAATTCCTGCAAATCTTCATGACTTCCAGGTTCATCTCGTACCATACCCCCTTCAAGCTTTGTCTTAGCACATTGGCTCTTTGTGATTCTTAGTCATCTTCCCAAATGATAGTGATAGGGCACTACTGCACAGGCTGTTCTGAGCAGAACGTCCTGCCTTCCTCTCTTCTCCTGTTTAGAAATGTCCCATCAGAGAGCAACAGCTCGGACATCTTTTCCTCCGAAAACCCTTCAGCCTTATTAGTTATCATAACTAATCGCTCTCTTAAGTCTTCCAATCAGCTGGTGAGATTTGTTTAACATGTTTGCCACACACACCCCAAGAGACCCTAAAGCCCCGAGGTTCGGGACCATGTTTCTTCAGTGTCTCCCCAACGATCTGCACAATAAATATCACTGTACCACTTACGAGAAGGCCCGATACCCAAGCAGGAATCTTAGATTTCTCAACAAAATTGTACTTTGGAGGAGCCATCGGATATTTCCTCCACCGCTTTCTGTTTAATTCAGCCCTTAAAAAAGACGGCTGAACCGGTGGTATAAACTAAGTCCGCCTCCTCAACCAAACCCGGCACTGAAGCGGGGAGGCCGGGAGTCGGGCATCAGTCCCGGGGAACGCTAGCACAGCTCTGGACGCAAAAGCGGCGTTGTGCAGAGCAGCTGTCAAGGGACAGCGGCCTTAGGGTTCGAGTCCGGCGGCCAGAGATCCCAAAGCTCCGCTCTAGCCTGCCAAGGGACTACTCTTGCCCGGGATCCCCCCCACCCCCACGGCAAGGCCGTCAGCTGAGAAGGAAAGGCTCCGGCCTAGCACCTAGTCGCAGTTTCCAGACTGGAACAGCCACCCGCCTCGTTCCCCACACACTCACTCCGCGCCCGTTCCTAGCCGGGCAGCCGCAGCATCGCCAAGAGTGCCGAACCTGCTCAGCGCGTTCCCAACCCACAATGCACGGCGCGCCTAGGTGGGACTCCAGCTCTGCGCTCCAATCCCAGTGTGGAGCCCTCGGGCGTCATCAAGAAGGGACCAATCGCAACAGCGTATTCAGAGGGCGTTGCAGAAGGAAATATTGGAAGCCGATTGGTTGTTCCTCCCCGGAAGTTCTGGAGGAAGAACTCAGTTGGAACCAATCGCCCGGCGCCTGAGACCGGCGGCGCGGTCAGTGGCGGCTCCGAGGATAGTGGTTACCGCCATGATCGAGCAGCCAAAGCGCAAAGGCCCGGAGCTACCACTGGTTCCTGTCAAGCGGCCGCGGCATGAGTTGCTGTTGGGAGCGGCGGGGTCCGGCCCCGGAGCCGGACAGCAGCAGGCGACTCCGGGAGCTTTGCTACAAGCGGTAAGTGGGAGGCATCCCGACTTGGCCGGAGCTCCACTCCTCTCGCCACGGACCGTACCGGCGCTGCGGGAACGGAAAGACATTGAACCTGATGTCCAAGCAGGATTGTAAAGTTGCTCTGTGTTCTGCGTCTGTTTCATATGTGTTTCCTTGTTGGATGCCTGTTTTCAGCCTTTCAGTCGCCCTGTGAAGTAGCACTAAACCATTTAAAACCTTGTCCTCAAAATCAAGATCCAAACTTCCGCATCCTAAATCTTCAGGGATTCAGCATCAAATAAACATTCAGAAAAGTTTGCAGAATGGGTGAATGAAACATTCAGAAAAGTTTCTAAAATGGATAAATGAATGAGTGAGTGAGTGAGTGAGTGAGTGAGTGAGTGAGGGGAAGCAAGGGAAATGAATGAGACAGGCTCGCTTTGCTACCTGGTACAATTTACTTTTCTCTTTCTCTGAATTTGCATTATTAACAGTAATTAACATCCGTTGGCTCTTTTGTTTTTTTGTTCATTTGTTTGTTTGTTTGTGACAGGGTTTCTCTGTAGCTTTGGAACCTGTCCTGGAACTAGCTCTTGTAGACCAGGCTGGCCTTGAGCTCACAGAGATCCTCCTGCCTCTGCCTCCCGAGTGCTGGGATTAAAGGTGTGCACCACCACCGCCCAGCCATCCGTTGACTCTTGTGTTAGATGTTTTGCATGTGAAATTTCCGTTAATCTTGGTAACAGCCTAAAAGGAACTGTTATTTTGCAAATGGGGAAAACAGACTTCTTTGAGTTGGAACCTGTACTCCTAATGGCATGTCTTGTAAAACAGTGACCATACTTCCCTATGAGGTTCAGAGAAGAAAATAAATGTACCTCCTGCCGCAACTCTTTAAAGTCTGCTGGTGTGGTCCTTAAAATATATAAATAAAGTTAGTGGCATGGGGCTGTAGTTGTATCTTCCCAGAAGGCTGACAAAATTTTGAGCGAAGAAATTGGAGGCCAGGCTGCAACTCTGGGCTGACAATCTCACTTGTCAAATGTACTACTAATAATCCTGAAATCTCGTTGGTAGACTCCAGTATACTAAGTTAGTTTTTAAAATAACAAGATGTTGCTGGGCTGTGGTGGCGCACGCCTTTAATCCCAGCACTCGGGAGGCAGAGGCAGGTGGATCTTTCGAGGCCAGCCTGGTCTACAAGAGCTAGTTCCAGGACAGGCTCCAACACTACAGAGAAACCCTGTCTCGAAAAACCAAAAAAAAAAATAAAATAAAATAACAAGATGTTAACATAGCAAAATCTCCAAAGTAAATAAATAAAAAGTTAGACACATAAATTTATAATCACTCAAGAAACTGAGGCAGGAGGATCAAGGGTTCCAAACCAGTATAGGCTATTATAGCAGAACTCTGAACTACATAACCACAACCCTTACCTCCTAGTCAAACCATCTTTATGTCATCTGGCATCATTGCAGGTGGGACTCAACTGGTGTTTCTGGTTTTGTCTTTGAATCAAGGATCAGTAATTAATCCAGTAGCCAGGGGAATCATCAAAATATTAAATCACATGATTCTCTGGTGAAAACATTCTGTTGGATTTCTGTTTTGTTCTGAAGTTAAAAAACAAATCGAATTCTCTGTAATAATTCCCCTCTTTACCATGCTCATCGACCAGTTTTCTAGCATGTCATGCTCAAGTAGCACCGACATATGTGTCCTTACATTTTGTTGTTACTGTTGTGTTTGCTGGGGTGTTACTCCAAATGTGCACGTGGTTAACTGTTGGCTCTTTCAAGTCTTTGTTCAGATACCAGTTTCTCAGTGGGGCTTTCCTGGCCACTGTACTTTCAGTTGAAACACCCTGCTCTGGAACCCATATTACTTCTGTCCATTGCGCACAACGCGAGGTGTTTGACTTGTTTGTTTTGTTTCCCTTCCCTTCGCTCTTTTTCCACTAGAATGCAAGCTCCATTGTTTTATTGAGTTCTCTTTCTCCGGTACCTAAACACATTAGATTTATTTTTATCTCTGTGTGTTTATCTGTATGCGCGTCTATCCCATGCGTGTGGATTCCCTCATGGGCCAGAAGAGATTGTTGGATCCTCAATCAAGAGATTGAGGCAGGCTGATCTCTGTAAATTCAAGGCCAGCCTGGTCTACAGAGTGAGTTCCAGGACGGCCAAGACTATAATGAGAAATTGTCTTGAAAAACAACAACAAACAGACTCTGGGATGAGTNAAGGCCAGCCTGGTCTACAGAGTGAGTTCCAGGACGGCCAAGACTATAATGAGAAATTGTCTTGAAAAACAACAACAAACAGACTCTGGGATGAGTATTTAAAAGGAGTCACTAGGAGGAGAGCTCTATGGGAGACATCTTTTCATGTTAAGATTCTGAGGCATAAATGAGGTCAAGCATGATTCAGCAGTCAACCGTTGACTGTGGAACAGAAGCAGAGTTAGGGAGGAGAGTAGTATGGTGGGCATACACTGGAATGTCCAAGGGCTTATCTAGTGAGAGGCGGGAGTTCTGTGAGCAGAGGTGCCATTCCCTAACCCAAATGAAATGCGCTGTCCCAACTTTACAGCTTCCTTTGCCTGTGTACAGTGACGGATCACACTTCTCTTTGGTTTAGGGGCCCCCGAGGTGTTCGTCCCTGCAAGCCCCAATCATGCTGCTCTCGGGGCACGAAGGAGAAGTGTACTGCTGCAAGTTTCACCCCAATGGATCCACCTTGGCATCTTCAGGATTTGACCGACTTATATGTAAGGCACAGCTTTTGACTCTGGAGTTACTGTTCTCTCTAAATAATGTTGTTGTTGTTGTTGTTGTTTTTAATTTTGGGTGCTATGTAAGGCATCAAGCATCAGTCTAAATATGCAAGTTAAATTATAGTGATAGCATGCTAAAACAGGTGTCAAAATATTGATCACTCATTCAGGTCAAGCTGTACGTAGGTCCATATGGTAAATAAAAAGAAACATTCTGCTCATTGGAAAGTAGGTTGCTTTGATTGGCGTTATATAGTCTCTCTTCTCCCTCCTCCGTTACTCTCAGGTAGCCCCAGCTGTCCTCAAATTGGCTACGTAGTGAGAATAAATTTGGAATTTCTAATCCTCCTGCCTCCGCCTCCCACTTGTTGGGATTACAGGCCTGAAAGTTAAGAGGAAAGAGAACTTCTCTACTCATAAAAACATGAGACCTTAATCCATACCCAGGATCCTAGTGTATGAGGGGAAAAGATAGGATCCTCAAGTGGTGACTCACTTAAATCATGTGCTACCAGGTTCTCTGCCACTCATTAGGAATGCCCATATTTGGAAACAGTAAGTACAATCTGGAGAGATGGCTCATCGGTTAAGAACATTTGTTAGCAGGGAGTGGCCGTGCCTTTAGTCCCGGCACTCAGGACGCAGAGGTAGGTAGATCTTTGAATTTGAGGCCAGCCTGGTCTACAGAGTGAGTTCCAGAACAGTCAGGGAACACAAAACCCATGTCTTGGAAAAAAAAGGAGAAAAGAGCACTGCTGCTCTTCCAGAGGACTTTAGTTCAGTTCCCAGCCCAACATCAAGTGGCTCATAACTCCTATAATACAGGTTCAGGGGATCCAATGCTCTCTTCAGACCTCTGATGGTGTCTTAGCATGCACACTTCCAGACACATCAATAAATAATAAATCTTTTTTAAAAAATAAATAGAAAAATGAAGCTGAGGTGATATAGCTCAATGATTCCTTTTTCAGGCTGTCTGCAGACTCTGAGCATATAAGAAAAAGTACTAACTTTTTTAAAATTAAACCTGAGGGTTTTGGAAAGATATTTCCCCAGTTAAATACACTTATTGCTCTTGTAGAGAGCTCAAGTTCGGTTCCCAGTAACTACATGGCAGCTCAAAGCCATCTCTAACTTCAAATCCCCAGGATCCAGCTCCCTCTTCTGGCCTTCATAGGCAGGCATGCATACGATGCATATACATATTTGTAGGGAAAACACTCAAACACATGAAATAAAAATAAACAAATCTTGTCTAATAAGTTAAGGCTGAGAAAACAAAGCTCACTCAGTTAGGACCTGAGTTCATTTTGCAGAACCCATACAGAGCAGGGTAGTAGAAAGCCAGGTAGCGTGGTTGTACTTTCATCCTCGGCTCCAGGGAGGTAGACAGGTGTGGACCCCTGGGCCCATCATCTGGCCAGCCTAGTCTACTAGGCAAGTTCCTGGCCGTGAAGAGAGTCTGTCTCAAAAGGGAAAAGATAGATGATGCCTGATCAACAGCAGCCACAGTTGTCCTCGCTGGCTTCCATACATGTGCACTCATGCACATACATACCTGAGTGACCGCATGCACACAGCAATTTTAGCGTAACGAGATTTGGTCTCATTGGTAGACCCAGTGTTGTTCTATGGTCTTATAATTTCAGAAGCATTTTTATGATTATTTTATATTAGCCATTCTCTGACTGGTGATGGGTTTTCTTTTCCTCTTAACAGTATTGTGGAATGTCTATGGTGACTGTGATAACTACGCTACATTGAAGGGACACAGTGGCGCAGTGATGGAACTGCATTATAACACAGATGGCAGGTGAGTGTTCCGCATAATGGGTTGACGATGGCTTCCCATACTACTGCTTAATGTCTTTACCCTTCAGCCCTGAGTTTCATCTCTTGGGAGATCCAGTCAAAAACTGCTACGTTTTGGTGTACTCCCATAACATCAGCACTGAGGAAGCTGAGGCAGGAGGATCACAATTTTAAGTCCCTCATGGACAATGCAGTAGACCATTGAAAGCTCATCATCGTTTATCTTGTAATGTGCCAGTACTCAGACCAGTGGGGTTTTTTGTTTTTATAAGACATAAAGCCAATTTTGGGGGAGGGAGGGTGTTTGTTTTTCCAGACAGGGTGTGTGTGTGTAGCCCTGGCTGTCCTGGAAATATCACTGTAGACCAAGCTGGTCTCAAACTCATGGAGATCTACCTGCCTCTGCCTCCAAGTGCTAGGACTAAAGGCATACACCACCGCTGCCTTTAATAAGGCAAATGTAATTTGAAATTGGCTCTTTAAAATTTTTATTGCAGGGATAGTAGCATGTGCCAGCTTTCAGGAGGCAGAGGCAGGCAGATCTCTAAGTTCAAGGCCAGCTGCTCTACATAAGTGATTTCCAGGGCAGCCAGAGCTACATAGTAAGGTCCTGTCTCATTAAAAAAAAAAAAAAAAAGAAAGAAAGGGAAAAAAAGAAAAAAAATTACCTGTTATTGTGTGTGCACATGATGTTTCTGTGAGAGGGGTACGTATGTAGGGGTCAGGACAGCTTCGTGGAGCTAGTTTTCCTTGTTTGCCTTTATATGGATTTTGGAGTCAAGCAGGCAAGTGCCTATATTTGCTAAGAGATCTCACAGGAAAGTAATAAGCTATGTTAAAAACACTAACAAAAAAGGCAAGTAGATGGAAAAAGTACCCACATTTTTACCTCTCCAATTACTGCTTGTTATATGCTTTGCTAAAGTCCTTTTCTTCCAAAATTGTTGAGTTTTAGCATATCCATAATGTAAACTAAGCTTACAATCTTGTCTACTGATTTTTTTTTGCTTTAACCTACCAAATGTTATAAAAATTAATATTGTGTAATTTTAGGATATGTGTGTGTGTTACAGATATTTAGTTACACCAAGTCAATCTTATTGTTACACATTTTGATAACTTTCTTTCTTTTTTATGGCACTGAAGATTGAACCAAGATAATTTTCTTTTTTTCTTTAATTACATTTTAAATAGTGTATGTATGATTACGTGTGACACAGTTGTTGAGGTCAACAGCCAGCTTTTGGGGGTCGGTTCTTCCTATATTGTGGGTCATCACAGAGCAGACTTGGCAGTGGACACCTTTATTCTCTGAGCAATGCCATAATCTTTCCTTCTTTCTTCTTTTTCAAGATGTTTTATTGTCACTTGTTTATATCCCTGTATTCTAAGAAATACATTATAGTAATTGTATATGGTATCACTTTAGGTGTGAAGTGCCTGTGTGTGTGTCCATTTGAGGACAAAGAGGAACATCAGGTACCCTGCTTTAATCTGTATTTTAGTATCTTGAGACAAGGTCTCTCACTGAGTCTAGAGCTAGGCTGGTGAGCAGCAAACCCCAATGATCCTCCTGTCTCTGCCCCACCAAAGAGCTGGGGTTACAGGTATGCATGGACATATTTAGTGTTTTACATGGGGTTTTGAACTCTGGTCCTTGTAACAGATAAGCCATCTCCAGAGACCCTGTTTTGTTTTCTTTGAATCTTGGTAATTTATTCAGGCTGAGTTTGAATTTGCAGTCCTCCTGCCTCAGCTCCTGAATAATTGGTATTATAGATATATGGCACTGCACCTGGCTTGTTTTACATTTCTGTTCTCAAATTTTAGTGTTTCATCATTAACATTTTAAATTAAGAAAGCATTACAAGGGACTGTAGGTAGACCAGATTGGGCTCAAACTGCCTCTGCCACCTGAGGCCTGGGATTAAAGGTGTGCAACACCACTGCCCAACAACCATAACAACTCTATAAAGGGAAACGTTTAATTGGGGCTGGCTTACAGTTCAGAGATTTAGTCCATTACTGTTGTGGTGGCCACAGGGGCAGACACGGTGCTGGAGAGGTGTTTGAGAGTTCTACATCTGGATCAGCAGGCAGCAGAAAGAGAGAATGACCCTGAACCTGGTTTGAGCATATAAAACTTCAAAGCCCACCCCCAGTAACACACTTACTCCAACAAGGCCACGCCTCTTAATACTGCCATTCCTTATGAGCCTGTGGGAACCATTTTCATTCAAGTCATCACAGAGCACTTGCTGATCTTACAGAGGACCCGGGTTCAGCTCCCAGTGTCCACATTCTGGCCAGTGGCTCTCAGTAACTTTGGCTGCACAGCATCCAATGCTTTCTCTTCTGCCCTCTGAACATCGCACATATATGACACAAATGTATAAGCTCCACACCCGTTATCATAAAGTAGAATTTTTCTTCAGCATTATAATGGGCACTGTTGCACGTGCTCCAATCTCAGTTCTCTGGCAGTGATGGAGCAGGAGTATCTTGAGTTCAAGACCTGCTTGGTCTACATAACACCGCCCTGTATCAAAGGGAAAAGAGGGCATTATAAGATCAAGTTTAACTTAGAAATCATTCCCAGAGACAGAGCAAAGCGTTGGAATTACTCAGCTCTTAAATCTAGAATTTTTACAATCAGCCTCTCCTCCACCTCAGCAGGAAGAACTTAAATACTTCTGTGTGAGAGGGTTTTGTACCCAGGTATATCACAAAGAAGGAAAAGATTGATTGAAAAAGCTGCTATATTGGTTGTGTGGTGTGGGTCAACCTGATAGTGAGTCCAGAAGGTGAATAGAATTGCCAACGGCAGGACGAGGGAGGCACCCTGGGTTCATGAGCTAAATTCACAGTGCAGCAGGCAGTGTTTGGGACAAATCTGACGCATTTTGGCAAGTGAGAAAGAGATTTTTGTCATACCCCCCTTTTTTTTCCTTTTTTGAGATTTATCTTGTTTATTTATGTTATTTTGCCTGTGTGTCTGTGTACCACCTGCATGTAGTACCTGTGGAGACCAAAAGAGGCATCAGATCCTCTGGAAATAGAGTTAGAGCTCCTTGTGGGCCTTTGTCTGGGTGCTGGGAATCACACCCAGGTCCTCTGGAAGAGCAGCCTGTGCTCTTAACCACTGAGCTGTCTCCAGCCCCTAGCGTTTGTCTCATATCTTTTATGTTCTTCTCCTAGCATGCTCTTCTCAGCATCGACAGATAAGACGGTGGCTGTGTGGGATAGTGAGACAGGCGAGAGGGTGAAGAGGCTGAAGGGACACACGTCCTTTGTGAACTCCTGTTATCCAGCCAGGCGGGGCCCCCAGCTCGTCTGCACTGGCAGCGATGACGGCACAGTTAAGGTAGGTATTGTCTGTCTGTGACGGCACAGTTAAGGTAGGTATTGTCTGTCTGTGCTGCAGTTGAGTTGGCATGATGTAAACTCTAGCCTGTCTTTCTACTGATCTTGTGCTCTTCTCTTAGTTTTAACTCATTTTCCAAAGCACACTTTAAATTTTACCAGTTGAAATAATAATGCCCTACAAAATTCTATTAGAACCATAGAATGTACTGCTACTTGGAATTAATGGACGGCGAGGAATTGATTCATGGCTCAGCTACGGATTTGTGTGTCTTTGAGCAGTTCAATCTCTGAGCTTCGCTTCCTTAATCTTTTTTTTTTTTTTTTTTCTTTTGAGACAAGGTTTCTCTGTATAGCCCTAGTTGTCCTGGAACTCCTTAGTGAACCAGGCTGGCCTCGTGTGCCTCCACTACCTGGTGCATTTTCTTAACCTTTCGAATTGTGACAGTAGTATAAGAGTCTTACAAGGTTGCTGTGAAGTCACAGGTGTTCAAGAAGCTCAGCAAATGCTCTCAGTGGCCTAGGATGGGATCTTACAGATCATTTAATGTGATGATTTCCAAGCTATCTGTGTTAAGATCACCTGAAGAACCTACTAAAAACACCCACAGTGGAACCGGTGTTCTGGCCAACCTTGGCTGTGTAGTGAGACAATCTCAAAAGACAGATAATAACAATAAAAATTCCCAGAGCATTGTTGAATTCAGAGAATAGCCTGAGCTGCCTAGCAAGACTCTATTTCAAGACAAAGAACTAAATACATCAATCAAGTGATCCCCAAGGCATGCTTCATAGTATGAACTGATTCGTGCGTTTCATTGTGAGACTTTTGTACATGTATATCCTTATACCATGTTCATACCCATACACACATATTACTTCACCCTCCTCTCTGGCTGCCATGTATGATTGTTTTGTCTGCATGTGTGTACGTGTACAACAGCATAAATTCCTAGTTCTCCAGAAGAACAGTAAGTGTGGGGCTAGAGAGATGGCTTAGCAGTAAAGAACAGCACTTGCTGTTCTTGTAAAGCACCCCACTTTGATTTCCAGCACCCACATGGTGGCTCACTGCCATCTATGACTCCTGTTCTGGGGATTAGGTGCCCTCTTGTAACCTCTGCTGGCCAGCACCAGGCATGTACATGATATAAATGTGGACATGCAAGCAAACCACTCATCCACATAAAATAAATCTAAAGGTGAAAAAGAAAAGGGTAGTAAGTGCTCTTAACTGCCAAGCAACTGCTACAGTCCCTAGTTTTTATCTTTTTACTGTTTTTAATTTAAGATGGAATCTCAGCAAGTTGCCCGGGTTGACCCTAAACTTATTTGTAGCCCAGGCTAGCCTTGAACTTTCAGTCCTCCTCTACTGCCTTCTAAGTAGTTGAGATATAAGCCTGTCTTAGTTAGGGTTTCTATTACTTAAATGAAACACCGTGACTGAAAGGAAGTTGTAGGGAAAGAGTTTATTTGGCTCACACTTCCACATTGTAGTCCATTACTGAAGGAAGTCAGAACAGAACTCAAACAGGGCAGGAGCTTTGAGACAGGAGCACCACAGAGGGGTGCTGCTTACTGGCTTGTCTCCAAACCTTGTTCAGTTTGCTTTGTAGAGAACCCAGGACCATCCACCCACAATGGGCTGGGCCTTCCTCCATCGATCACTAATTAAGAAAATGCCCTACAGACCTGCCTACAGCCTGATCTTATTGAGATATTTTATCAATTGAGACTTTGTCCTCTCCTGTGACTCCAGCTTGTTGTGTCAAGTTGACATAAAAACTAACCTGCACAAGGCCTGTCTTACCAAGCCCTGGCTTGTGTGTTAGTGATTTATTTTGTTGGTGCTGGTGCTTAGAACCTGGGACCTCACAAGTGCTAGGGATGTACACCCAACTACTTTTTCAATGAAGTCTTTAAAAATACTACTAATAATAAATTGGAGTTGGAGAGACGGCTCAGCAGTTACGAGCACTTGTTACCCTTGCAGAGGACCCAGGTTTGCTTCCCAGCACCCACATGGTGACTAATAACCATACATAACTTTGTTTTGGGGAAACTCAATGTCCTTTTAAGAGCACTGCATCCATATGGTGTGCAGACACACATGCAGGCAAAACATCATATACTCTGTGTGTGTGTGTGTGTGTGTGTATTTGGAGACAGTATTTCTCAACATATCCCTGGCTATCCTGGAACTAGCTGTGTAGACCAGGCTGGCCTTGAACTCATAGAGATCCACCAGAGATCCACCTGCCTCTGCCTCCCAAGTGCTGAGAATAAAGGCATGCACCACCACTGCTTGGTCAAAATATATTAATCTTAAAAAAATATAATAAATAAAGGTGGTAACTCTGATATGTTTGATTATATGTCTCGACATGTTCTGTGCTGAATGATATTCTATGCCAGATCACTTGGGTTTTGTGAGCCTGGAAGCCTAGGTTAACTATACTGAATGTGGACTCTTAAGGGTGAAATTTTATTAGTGTGTATATGTGGGTGTGCATGCACGTACATATATAAATGCATGAGTTGTCCAGAAGATGCTGTCCACTCCTCTGGAGCTGGAGTTACAGGTGGTTGTGAGCCATCCAGTGTCAGTGCTGGGATCTGAACTTGCTTCCTCTAGAAGAGCAATAGGAATTCTTAGTTGCTGAGCCATCTCTTCAGCCCCATTAACAAGTGTGTTAAGGGCCTCTATATAAGTATAGATAGGAACTTGTTCTTGTTTGTATTATTTCCTTTTCTTTTTATTTTGCCTTTTCCCCTTTGTCCCCATATTTCTCTTTGGGTCTTTTAACTTTTTAATTTTTCTCGTAAAAGGGACAATTTATTGTTTAAAGCAATATTGTTATAGATTTTGTTTGTGTAAATGTTTTGCCTTTGTGTATGTGCCTGTGCCATGTCCATGCCATGTACCCACAGAGATCAAAAGGAAGCCTTGGATCCCCTAGAACTAGAATTACAAATGGCTGTGAGTCACCATGTAGATGCTAGGACTCAAACCCAGATCCTCCACAAGAGCAGTGGGAGCTCTTAACTTCTGAGCCCTCTCCCCAAGTTTCATCAAAGTAGCATTTTGTAAAATGGGCAATATGTCATATCACCTAAAGATGACTGCTTTTTATGTAGTCCTCTTTTTCCAGTTTTATTTTTTATTTTTATGTGTGTGTGCATGTGTGTACATGTGTGTGTGTGCTCATGTGTACAAATACCCTGGAACTGAAGTCGCAGGCACTTGGTGAGCCTCAATATGAGTGTTGGGAATTGAACCAGTGCCCTTTGGAAGAGCAGCCAGTGTTCTTAACCACTGAGTCATCTCTCCAGCCCCTTCATGTAATTCTTTAGTTTGAATTTATTTGAAGACACCAAGCAAACTTTTTTCTGGAAGTGAGTTCTTATGATAGGGCCTCACTATATAGTAAGGAAGAGGGTCAGAACAGCATGAGGAGGGGGACCCTCATAAGGCCAACCAAAATGGGGGTGAAGGAAAGGAATGGAAGGAAGGAAAATACCCACGAAGGTAAAGTATTAAAGATAATTTGGAAAATCAGTTATAGGGAGCCTAAGCAACTAAGTAAAAGTATTTAGTATCATAAGATTTCTTACTCTCGTGAAAATGGAGTTTTCAATACAAAAATGGGGAGAAAACTAAACGAGTCTTGTAATGCTGGGTTCAGATAAGAATCGGTGTGAGCTCTCATTTTTGATTTATAAGCTGATCATCTAAACTAAGTCCTTATTTCAGGAAAAAACATTTTGGGTAAGTGGCAGAACTTGAGTGATTCGGTATCTGAACCCTTGGTATGTTGCGGGAGTGGACATGGGACTAGGGATATACTGCAGTTGGTGTGGGGCTTGCCCACCATGTGTTCCCAGCACAACATAAACCAGGTAATCCTAGCATGTGGGAGATGAACATGGAAGGATCAGAATTGTAGGTCATCAGCAGGTACTTGGCCAATTTGAGGCTAGCCTAGGATACATCAGAATTTGTTTCAAAAACACAAAAGCGGGGAGAGGGGATCTGTGTGTTTACAGGCATCTATGTTCTGAAATTTACACATATTGCATAGCTTTATACTGAGAAGGCTTAGAAAACCCTATTTGATCTACCGGGAATCACTCAGGGCATCAAGCATGCTAGGGAAGTGTTCAGCTCTAAGCCACATCCCCGCTTCATATCTTGGTCTTTGTTTTTTGAAACAAAGTTTCTCTGTGTGGCCTTGACTGTCCTGGAACTCTCTTGTAGACCAGACTGGCCTGGAACTCAGATCCACCTGCCTCTGCCTTCTGGGTGCTGGGATTAAAGGCAAGTGCCACCACACCTGACTTTTATTTATTTATTTATTTTTAATTATGTCTTGGTCTTTAAATATCATTTGCCACTAGACAAAGCTAAGGCGCTTACATTAGGCCTGGTCCAGGAAAGTACTTTAAGATGAGCTTAGAACATCTTGTACAAAAATTTCTGGGCAAATGTTGCAACTGAATGTTATCAGTAATGAGACAGAATTGTGAGCTGTTCGCTAGTGCCTGGTGTTACTATTTCTGTGATATCCCTACCAATGATAAACCTTCAGTCTCCCTGATGCAATGCCAGACAAATGCAAGCGCAGAGAGAAGCATTCCTGTGTTTTTCACAAGTGCCAGGGTCACAGAGCTCAAGCAAAATCTGAAAGAGACTAAAAAGACATGACAAATTTAACACAGAATTCCAAACTGAATCTTGGTGTCTTTTTGAAAAGGACCCGTGGGTAGTGGTTAAGCTTGAATGGTGTTTGAGTGCCTTGACAAACACTAGTCTTGATGGTTTCTTCCTGTTGATGGCGCGCCAAGGAAACATCTGTGTGGACAAACATTAGGAGGTGCTGGGGAGATGAGGCACTAGTCAGCACTCAGTCTAAAATGATTTTAAGGGAAAAGAAAAAATTCTTTTCCAACTGTTCAGGAAGTTTGTGATTATTTCAAAATTTTTTTAATTATTTTAATCAAGCTTTAAGTGGCTACCATACCTTTTTAGATTGGCGCCAAGCGTTGATGCACACGCCTGTAATCCCAGTCCACAGGAGGCTGAGGCAAGAAAATGGTGAGTTTCAGACTAGCCTGGGCTACATAGTGAATCTCTGCCTCAAAAATAAGGGACAAAGATTGTTTTGATCTGTGTAAAGATTATCTGTTGAGACAAAGTTTCACCGTATATGTGGAAGCTGAATTATCAAGGCCTTGACTTGCAGATCAGGGAGTCTGGGTATGTTCTGGAGGTTGCTCAGCTAGTGTCTGTTTAAAAAGAAAAGGGAAGCACCCTTTGCTCAGGTGACTCTCCTGTAGATTCTTTTACTTAAGATAAAATCTAAATTCACGGGGCTGGAGAGATGGCTCAGTGGTTAAGAGCATTGCCTGCTCTTCCAAAGGTCCTGAGTTCAATTCCCAGCAACCCACATGGTGGCTCACAACCATCTGTAATGAGGTCTGGTGCCCTCTTCTGGCCTGCAAGCATACACACAGAAAGAATATTGTATACATAATAAATAACAAATAAATATTAAAAAAAAATCTAAATTCACCACTGAAATCTTAAAAAGCTAGACAGGGGCTGTAACTCTGTGTTACCCTTGCCTAGCATGCACAGGGTCCTTGGTTCAGTCTTTGTCACTTAAATAAATCAAAATTAAATTGACTTTGATACCCAGACATCTCCTCATGCCCAAAGAAACCAATGAAGTCATTCTTGTTTCTTCCCTATATTCCAGCCCCTGGCAACTTCTAGCCTGTCTGTGTCTCTGGACATTCCCAACAAATAAAAATGAGACAAGCTACAATCTCAGTGTCTGGGGGAAGTCTCAAATTTGAGGCCAGCCTGGGCTACTTTTCTGTGCAGTGTGGAGAGTGATCTATGGCAGCCATTCCTTTGGTTTTGAATGAGTGAATTTATTAAGCACAGAGCAAGCAAGTATAAAAGAACAAATAGAAAGTAGTGCAAATAGCAAAACATCCTCAAATTAGTTTCTAATGAGCAGCAGAGATGCCAGAAGTAGCCTGCTTGAGAAAGCAGACAAAGGTAACAGTATCAAATCAGAGTTCACACAAACACCCAGCAGAAGCAGGGCATTAGTAGCACACGCCTTTAATCCCAGCACTTGGGAGGCAGAGGCAGGTGATCTCTGAGTGCAAGGCCATCCTGGTCTACAAGAGCTAGTTGCAGTACAGCTAGGGCTATAATAGAGAATCCTTGTCTTGGGGAAAAAACAAACAAAAAACTACCCAGCAGAAATCAGCTGGGGAAGTTGAGGCACTCTGTCGGAGTGCCCCACTGAGCTTTCTCCCTGGCTTCTCACTACCACTGCAGGCACTTTTGTGTCGTGGGATCATAGTGACTCTGTTGGAACTGGTTACCTTCTAGCAGTTCTCAAAGGCATAGGATTTAAGTCCCTTAGCTGCTGCTGTTTCCCGTCTCCCTGTTACAGAGCCAGCTTGACCCTGGACTAGGGTTTGAAGGAGACAACAGAGGACCTCTCCACTCCTGGAGTGCACTTTCCTCAAGTACACTACAGTGTCCCAATTTAACTTAGCATTAATGCCGCGTGGTAAAACAGTCTCATTTTTTTCAGGCAGGGGTAAAGTGCTTTTTGTCCAAGCATAGGGACCAGAGTTTAGATCCCTACTACCCAAGTGAAGCCGGGCGGTGGTGGCGCACGCCTTTAATCCCAGCACTTGGGAGGCAGAGGCAGGCAGATCTCTGTGAGTTTGAGACCAGCCTGGTCTACAAGAGCTAGTTCCAGGACAGGCTCCAAAACCACAGAAAAACCCTGTCTCGAAAACCAAAGAAAAAGAACCTACTACCCAAGTGAAAAAGATGGTGGGCCTGGTGGCCTACTGTAATCCTAGTGCACTGGCAGTAGAGACGGAATCCATGGAACAAGCTGGCTAATGAGACTAGCTGAAATGACAAACTCCGGGTTTAGTTAGAGACCCCACTGTAGGTAGAAGTGACTTAATATTCATTATAAACACTTGGCCAGTAGCTCAGGCTTGTTACTAGCTAACTTACAGTTATTTTAACCCTTTTTTTTCCTCCCATCTTAACCCATATTTCTTATCTACACTTCACCACGTGGCTTAGTGCTCTTCTTGGTTCTCTCCGCATATGCTGGCGACTCCTGACTCCGCCAACTCCGCTCTTCTTCCCATCATTCTGTTTGGCTCTCCCCCTAACCTTATCCTGTCCAGCTATTGACCAGTCACCTTCTTTATTAAACCAATCACAGTGACATATATTCACACAGTGTAAAGAAATATTCCACACCCCACTTCAATATGTAAGGGGGAGAAGGCACATGTCAGCCTTCGACTCCCACAACCACATTCATAAGATTTTTTATGTCACACATGCGTGACTGTACATCACAGGTGCACACTACACACGTGTACTTTTTTTCACAGATGAATGTGGTGCTACATTTCTGTGGTCATGGTGCTTGTTGCTGGGGAATTGGAAAGATAAAGAACTCATGGGGGATTTTTTTGGTTTAGTTTTTTGAGACACAGACCTCCTGTATAAGCCTCTTCTCAGAACTTTTGTGCCTCCTGTCTAAGCCTCCTGGGTGCTGGGATTTCAGGTGTGTGTTTTGAGACTTGAGTCTTACCATGTTGCCAAGCTAATCTCCTGATGTGTGCTACAGTACCTGGCTCTTTTTGTTGGGGTTGGTTGGTGCGTTGATTGGTTTCCAGTCAGGGACTTACTGTGTAGTACAGACCAGCCTGAAATTGAAAGTGATCTGCCTACCTCAGCCTCCTGGATGTTGAGATTGTAGGCATGGCAGCCTTGGTTACATGGCGAGTTCCAGGGTAACTAGAGCTATATAGTGAGGCCCTGTCCCTAAAAAAATACCATTATTCTAATGAGCAACAGTGTTTTGTTTGTGGCTTTTGGTTTTGCTTTGATTTTTTTTTTTATTCTGTTTACTTTTTGAAACAGGCTCTCTATGTAGCCTTGACAGTCCTAGAAATCACTCTGTAAGCCAGGCTCCTCCTCCCCAGCACTAGACTCGTAGGTGAACTGGCATATGCTATGCCAGTTTTTTCGTGGGTGCTGGGGATCTATCTGAACTAGGCACTCAGGTATCTAGCAGATACTTGATCAATTGAGTCATCTCGCTGGCACCTTCCTTCCTTCCTTCCTTTTTTAAATTTCACCTGTTTGTTTATGTGCACACTGTGATGAGCATGTGGAGGCCGGAGGACAGCATGGGGGGGTCAGCTCTCTGCTGTCACTCAGGTCCTCAGGCTTGCGACCAGTGCTCTTAGTCACTGAGCCATCTCTCCAACCCCCATCCTGCTTATTTTAAAGCTTATCAACAGGTGTGTAGCCTTGTAGGCAAACTCAGCTGTTTCGTAATTTGATGCCTTAAACTTGGAGTTTGGGTGGGCAAGTTTGAGGTGGGGAATAGCTGAACTGCCGCCCGGTGTTTCCGTTGCTTTGACGGTGGGTGTGGGGGTGTTCTGTGTGATTGCTCCTGAGAAGGATGTTACTGATGCTGCCTGTTTTCTTCAGCTCTGGGACATCCGCAAGAAAGCAGCTATCCAGACATTTCAGAACACTTACCAGGTGCTGGCTGTGACCTTCAATGACACAAGCGATCAGATTATCTCTGGTGGAATAGACAATGATATCAAGGTATGGTTGTTTATATTTATATTTACCATTCGTGTATCAGAAGCTAATCTTTCTACAAATTTTGAGATTGTACAAGGTTGGCACTTAATGCCAACTAAAAAGAAGATAGTGACCTGAAACTTACTTTTTTTTGTCTTTTTCTGATTACTTCCTAAATCAGAGGTTACATATAAATGTATATCGGTTCATATAAATGCCATCAAGGGCCAGATGGTTAATAGGATATGTGCAATCCGTGGGTAGAGGGGAGCTGTGAAAATACAGAATATGGCCAGGTTTGGTGGCATATGACTTTAATCCCAGCACTCTGGAGGCAGAGACGGGCAAATCACTATGAGTTCAAGGCCAGCCTGGTCTATAGAGTCAGTTCCAGGACAGTTGGAGCTACGTACAGACCCTTTCTCAAATAAAGAATACAGAGTGTAGTTAGGCCCTGACTAGGTATTTGTTTATTCATTTTTAATTACATTTATTTCTGTGAGTGAAGGACAGAAAAGAATTTGCAATCAGTTCTCTCCTGTCCTATGAGTCCCAGGGATTGAACTTATGCTGTTGGTCTTGGTAGCAAATACATTTATCTGCTGAACCTTCTCACCCAACAGAAGACACTGACGATTGTTTTTAGCTTTTTGCTTTAATGAGACAGGGTTTCTCTGTAGCTTTAGAGCCTGTCCTGGAACTTGCTCTGTAGACCAGGCTGGCCTTTAACTCACAGAGATCCGCCTGCCTCTGCCTCCCGAGTGCTGGAATTGAAGGCCTTCACCAACATCACCCAGCCAGCTTCATCACTCTTAACAGTTAGTACAGTGCTTTCCAGAGCAGAGGTCGTGCTGCTGACAGCCATCCGTTGCCACCCAGAGCTGCCCTCTGTGCCAAGCCCCATCTCTGATGTCTATCAACCATTGAACTCTTTGTCCTGTAGCTCCTTTTCCAGGATGTTGGGGACATATGAGTGTGTAGCTTTGGGGGAACCAGCTTCTTTTTAATTGTGAGAATTTGATTCTCCTGTCTTCACCACAGGTCAGACAGACCGAAGAAGGGTTCTTACCACAAACAGTCTGGATGCTGCTGCTGGGCCTTCTGTGCATCACAGTGCAATGTAGTCCGAAGGTCTACCTGGTCCTTGTGTAGTGTAGTTTACTGTCTTCTCAGAGGCGTGTATTATCCCTCCTCTTAGGGCGGGGTCTCTGCAGAGAATAAATCCTAGCCATTGTATGTTAATATATACCAGTTTTACTCTGAAATTTGAACTTATCTCAGATATGAGAAACATAAATATAGCCCCATGAATACTGCAGTTAAATTTAGCTCTGTATTCTAAAATATTCTTTCCTATGTTTTTGGAAAGTGTCCTGATTCTCATAGCCCTGCATCCTTCATTTTTCTAAAATAAGTCTTGGTTTGGAGTTCTCTTGTTTTGTATTGTAGCTCTGGTTGACCTTGAACTCACAGGTATTCCTCTGCCTCCTGATGCTGAGATTAAAAGTGTGTACCACCACACCTGGCTTGTTTTGTTTGTTTGGGCGGTAGGTTCTCAAACTTACCATCCTTCCATCTTAATTTTCTGAATGCTGGCATTGTAGACATGTATTTAGACATTCAAAGTGGGTTTTTTTAAGGTGTGTGTGTGTCTGCTTCCTAACATCCTTTAGGAAGCAGAAGAGAGTATCTGATCCATTCAAAGTGGGTTTTTGTTTTGTTTTGTTTTGTTTTGTTCTTAGGTGTGTGTGTACATCCTTTAGGAGGCAGAAGAGGGTGTCTGGTCCCTTGGAGCTGAGTTAATGTTAGTTGTTAGCCACCCACTGTGGGTGAACAAGGTTACTATGCATCAGCTACTCTGGAGCAGGAAGTTCTCTTAACCACCAAGCCACTTCTCCAGCCCTATTTTCACACCAGTGCATGTACCTAACTCCTTTCTGAATATTAAAAAAATGCCATGCTTTATAGGATGTCAGATATTTTATTTATTTAGAAAAATTACATGGCAGTATTAAATGAAGTTTTTTATAATACCAATGACCTTCACAAAATTGCTAATCTTTTTCCTTTTGACATCCAGACTATTTCTGTTCCTGTTAATGTTTATTTTTACATATTTGCTTAATCGCCTATTATGTAAATTTTTTATATTTTGGCTTTAGAGTTATTTTTAGGAACTGCTCAATAATATTTAGAGCCTGCCATGTACCAGGCATATGCAAAGCATTCCTATTTGTAATTGTTCAGAACGGGAGAGCACTTGCCTAGCGTGCTTGAGGCCCTACGTTCAATCTCCAGCATTACTAAAAGTATAAAAGACAAACGGACAGAAGATATGCTGGTGATGTCATCAATGGTAGTGCTCAAAGCTCTGGAGTTGAACAAACAACAAAGGGCAGAACTCCTAGACAGATACTCTTGTGTCTGTCTTCCAGAGGCGGCTCAAAGGGCTCTTTGCATAAATACTCTTTATATTTTCTTTTTTCTAAACATACATACATACCTACATACATATGTACATACATACGCATTGTTTCTGTATACATATTATAACATAAGATGAAAAATCTTAACTGTTTTCCAGTTTCGAGTTTACTATATATGATCTTGGGCTTTGTTTTCATTTTGTTTAGTTTGTGTCCCTGCTTGGCCTGGCGCTTGCAGCAATCCTGCCTCTGTCTCTAGTGATGTTCTCATATACATACATCACTGTAACTAGCTTTGTCTACTTTTATTTTTAATTTTTAGTTTTGAGACCTCTGGCTTCAAATGCACTATATAGCTAAGGGTATCTTTGAACTTCTGATCTTCCTGCTTCTCCTCCCAAGTGCTAAAATTCAGGGGTGCCATTGGCTCGCTTTCTTTCTTTCTTTCTTTCTTTCTTTCTTTCTTTCTTTCTTTCTTTCTTTCTTTCTTTCTTTCTTTCTTTCTTTCTTTCTTTCTAAGATAGGGTTACTTTGTATAGTCCTGGCTGCCCTGAAACTCATCCTGTAGACCAGGCTGGCCTCAAACTCAGAGACCTGTCTGCCTCTGCCTCCCGAGTTCTAGGAATAAAGTCATGTACCACCACCGCCTGGCCTTTATGATTTTTTGAGATGGTCTCATAGCCAAGTTAGTCTGGAACTCTGTTATTCAAGCTGACCTCGGGTTTAAAATCCTTCCTCATCTGCCTCCTGAGTACTCAAATTAGACATAGACCAGTAAGCCTGTCATCTGGTTTGTATAGTTATTTTTCTTTCTTTTTATTTTTCACCTTATTTGATGTGTATGAGTATTTTGCTTGCATATTATGTGCACCACATGTGTGCCAGGTGCCAGCAGTCAGAAGGGGGCACTCGTTCCCCTGCAGCAAGAATTACTGTTGTGAACCACCATGTAAATGCTGGAAACCAAACCCAGACACAAGAACAACAAATACTCTTAATCTCTGTGTCATCTCTCTAGACTCTGACGTGTTTGGCTTATTCATTTGCTTGTTGCTGTGGCCTTATTTGTGCTGGAACTGGCTCTGTAGACCAGACTGGCCTTGAACCCACAAAGATCTGCCTGCTTCTGCCTCCTGTGTGCTGGGAGCTGGACTTAAAGGTGTGCGCCACCACACCTGGCATTTCTCTGCTAGTTTTCAGTTTGAATCCTGAGTTCAGTTTTGTGTTGTTACAGGTTTGGGACCTGCGTCAAAACAAACTAACCTACACCATGAGAGGCCATGCAGATTCTGTAACTGGCTTGAGTTTAAGTTCTGAGGGATCTTATCTCTTGTCCAATGCAATGGACAATACAGGTAACTTTGGAGAACAAAGATGTTCTGGGACTAGTGTCTGTTGACCGTAAAAGTGGGGGTGGGGGTTGTATCACAGATTCTAATTAGTCTTAATAATAAAAACCTGGAGTCAGATATTGGCGTAAAGAAAAATCAGAGAAGTAAAGGAGCCAGCCACTAGAGAGACTTTACCACTGAATCCTCAGACCGAAAGTGGCGAGATCCTGCCTCTACAAATCTTCAGACTGAATACTCTGAACTCCTATCTCCTCCCACCTTATATTCCTCTCTCTGCCCAGCCATTTCCCTTCCTGTCTCCCAAGTGCTGGGATCCCCTTTATTTGAGCTCTGTTTCTCTTTTAGACAGATTCAATCCTGTGTAGCCCAGGGTGGCCTTGAACTCACAGAGATCCCTCTGGGTTAAAGGTGTGTGCTGGGCACTGCCTGGCCTCTATGGCTAAATAGTATGACTAGCTCCACATTCTGATCTTCAGAAAACTGTCAGATCACAGACAAAATATCACCACAGGAGGTAGTATTAAGTAATGTGTGCTGGGAAGTGGTGATAGAGCTCATTAAGCTACCTATGTTCAGACTAGATATTTGAATGTGCTCCTAGGACTCCGTACTGAAAGGAAAGAGTCAGCTGGGCAGTGGTGGCACACACCTTTAACCCAGCACTTGGGAGGCAGAGGCAGGCTGATCTCAGAGTTTGAGGACAGCCAGGGCTACAAAGAGAAACCCTGTCTTGGGGGTGCGGGGGAGAAGGAGAGTGTCAGTTCCCATAGTTGTCCTCAGACTTCCATATGCATCGCATAGCACGTGTGCTCCCTCACTTATTCGCTCAGTCTCCTTCCCTCACGTGCACACATTAGATAAATAAATCTGTTAAAAATATTTTGATCAGGAGTCTGGGGGATAAATCAGTGGGAGAGTGCTTGCCTAGCTTGCAGCCCTGGGGACAATCTCCAGCCACACAGAAGGATTAGAGGGAAGTGTATATTAGACTAGATGAAAGTCCAGGACAAAGGGAGGCTGACATTTCACTGTCAGCTAGAAGACAGTTGAGGTGAGGTGATCTAGAATCCAGGACTCTAATCCCAAAGCTCCTGTGTAGTCTGAACTATTGTACACACAGCGTTTCTCTTCCCTGGGATTCAGGCATTTCTATGTAGGTAAAATGGTAGAGGGCTGGATTTTCCCTTGCTGTTGTGCAGTAGTCTTTCTGTACACCATGAAGAAGTGTCACTGTGATTGGTTTAAAAAATGCTAAACAGCCTGTAGCTAGGCAGGATTTTCCGGGCAGAGGGAACTCTGGGAAGAAGGGCGGAGATGGCAGAAGAGGAGGAAGCAGGAAAGCAGGATGATGCTTAGATGAGGCAAACGAGCGTTGGGGCAGCACATAGATGAATAGAAATGGGTTAAGTTATAAGAGCCACTTAGAAACAAGCCTAACATATTAGCCTAGCCTTCATGGTTAATAAGAAGTCTCTTTGTTATGATTTGGGAGCTGGCTGGGGGACAGAGAAAGACTCAATACACATAGCACCCGATGTGAGGCACCAAATGAAGCATTTATTTGTTTGTTTGTTTGTTTTGTTTTGTTAAGACAGGGTTTCTCTGTGTAACTTTGGAGCCTGTCCTAAAACTCACTGTGTGGACCAGGCTGGCCTTGAACTCACAGAGATTCACCTAAAGGCTAGGTGATGGTGGCAGAGGCAGAAGTTAAGAGAACTGGCTGCTCTTCCAGAGGACCCAGGTTCAATTCCCCACATGGCAGCTCACAGCTGTCTGTAACCAATTCTAGGGAATCTTACACCCTAATACAGACATACATGCAGGCAAAACACCAATGTACTAAAAATAAATAATTTTTAAAAAGGAAGAAAAATAAAGTTTACCTCAGCTGCATATTCAAGGTCAGCCTGGGCTACACAAGACTGTATCCAAAAAAAAAAAAAAAAAGCTGATGTTTTTGTTGTTGTTTTTCTTAGTTTTACAGAACAGGAAGCCAAGACATAGTCTCATTTTAACCTGGCATTACCATTACAAAATTAGATTCAGAGTTTCTGTTTTCCAAGGCAAGAATGTATGGTATATGTGAGAGCCTGGATTAAATCCCCAGGACCTTAGGGTGGCGACAGTGTTCATATGTCCTGAGGTTGGGGACAGTATTGTATGTCCTGGGGTTGGGGGGCAGTGTTGTGTGCCCTGTGGATGGGGATGTTCCTATATCCTAGAGGTGGACATGTGGATATCATGAGGAGAGTATCGTGTGTCCTGATTCTCATCGTGGAGGTTTCTTTCTATATTATTCAAGTTTAGACTGTCAGAGCACCCATCAAGTTGAAGGAAAGGTTGAGTCTTTGCAGATGCGCATCACAGCAGTCAGTGGTGTTTAGATTCTTATGAGTGGGGAGATGGCTCAGTTAATAAAGGACATATGTAAAATCCAGACATCTGTGACCCTAGGAATGGAGCTCACTGGCCAGTCGGTGAGTGCTAGATTTAGTGAACCCTGTTTCAAAAAATAAGGTAAAAACTGAGCATGATAGTTCATACTTTTAATCCCAGCACTTGGGAAGCAGAGGCAGGGTGATCTCTGGGAGTTCAAAATCAGCCTGAGTAATCTACATAGAGAGTCCCAGACCCAGGAGGGCTATAAAATGAGACCCTGTCTCAATAAAGGAAGGAAGGGAGGGAGGGAGGGGGGGAGGGGGGGGAGAGAGAGAGAGAGAGAGAGAGAGAGAGAGAGAGAGAGGTTAGCCACTGGTATCCAAGCATGAATGCACACTAAGCATGCACGCACATTGCATACACACAAAAAAAATTAGTTTATTTAATGTATATGAATGTTTTGCGTGTGTGTGTGTGTGTGTGTGTGTGTGTGAACTGTACATGCTGGTGCCCTCAGAGGCATTGGCTCTCCTGGAACTGGGGTTACAGATGGTTGGTTGTGAGTCACCATATGGGTTCTGGAAACTGATCCGAGGTCCTGTGCAAGAATTTGTGCTCTTAACCACTAAGCCATCTCTCAAGCCTCCAAAAAAATTTTTTAGATTAAACAAAATCATTGTCATATTGAGACTTTGCTGGATTTGATTCTGAATTGGCAGAGGAATCATTTGGAAAATGTTTTTTTTATTTTTTATGATCTGTCTCACTCTCCCCCCAAAACTGCCTGTGGGGTGTGTGTGTGAAAGGCAGACAAACACAAGAAGATTTAACTACATCGTTGCAATTTCTATGTCCTTGGCTCTCCGTCCTCTGTGCCCTTAGCTTAATGAGGAGGATGATCATTGGTGACCCCACTGGAAGAGTGAAAGAGCCTTATCTGCCGGGTGGTGGTGGCGTACGCTTTTAACCCCAGCACTTGGGAGGCAGAGGCCAGCGGATCTCAGTGAGTTCGAAACCAGCATGGTCTACAGAGTGAGTTGCCAGACAGTCAGGGCTGTTAAACAGAAAAATCATGTCTCAAAAGGAAAAAAAAAAAAAAAAGGAAGAAGTCAAAAAGAGCCTTAGCAATTAGTATTATGTCATGTTGGACCTCCTTAACCAGGAGACAGTATTTGTTACTGACATGGAAGCTGCTGGCTTGTAGTTATGTTTGTTGTTTGATTGGCTTGGTTTTGCTTTGTAGTGCGTGTCTGGGATGTCCGGCCCTTTGCTCCCAAAGAAAGATGTGTGAAGATATTTCAAGGAAATGTGCACAACTTTGAGAAGGTGAGTGGCACCTGCCACGGGGTTGGTACCTGTCCATTTGCTCTGAAAAAACATTTATTTAGTGATGCTAAAGGGTGAAGAGTTGTTGGCCCTCTGAGAAAGAGTGATGTCTGGTAACCATCGTCATCGAAGCTGCCCTCTCTTCTGCCTCAGCGTCCCTGTGCTCTTCCAGGAGCAGACTCCGCCTCTGCCTCAAAGTTCGTAGGACTTGTGGCTTCAATGCCTCCCTCCCTAACAGGGCATCTGACCTTTTATTCCTTAGGAATCTCAACCCTGTAAATCAGTGTCTGTGGACCCTGACTCCCATTGCTGTTACCAGATACCTGCTGTTAGAGCTGTGGGTCCATACCCATTCCCCTTGTAGTCACGATGGTCCAAGAGAATTTTTCTCAAATCCTCATGTATCTGATCAGCTCTTTTGGAAGCTGCTTTTTTTTTTTTTAAAGCATTGAGTTTCTTAAAAGAGATTAATGATTTTCTTTTGCGAGTTCACTGAGATTGTTTTACCCTATAAATCAAATCTTATTTTTGTTGGGTTTGGGTTTTTTTTTCTTCAAGATAAAGCAAAAGAATTTTAAAAAAAAAGATAAAATTTTAAAACATTTTAATGAGGATCAAGATAAGTAGAGCAAAGGGAGCCTTTGTTTAAAAACAGAACAAATTTTTGTTGCCAGGTTTGTTCTTAATAACTGTAGGTTAAGCATTTCTGCATCTAGTTTTTTGTGTGGTATAAGATTACAAAGCAGGCTGGAGAATTGACTCAGCAGTTAAGAGCACTGGTTGCTCTTGCAGAGGTTGCAGAGGACCAGGACTTGACTCCCAGCAAACGCCTGGCAGCTCACAGTTGTCTGTAACTCCATTCCCAGGAGATGTGATTCCCTCTTCTGGCTTCCTCAGTGACCAGGCATACCTCAGGCATACTTGCAGACCAAACACCTAAAATAATACACATAGAATACACATAGAATAGATAAGTATTTGAAGAAGAATAAGTAAAATTACAAAGCATGCTGTTCTGAGCAGGGATATATTAGCTGATATTTGTTCTGGGGAGACACTCAAAGCCTAGTAGAAAATTTAAAGTCAATTGACTCCTAGTATAGCAAGAGGAGTTTGGCCTATTAACTGTCTTGTACATCCCTCTCCTTACAGAACCTCCTGCGGTGTTCTTGGTCACCTGATGGAAGCAAGATAGCTGCTGGCTCAGCAGACAGGTAAGGGCTCCTGGAGTAAGGTAGAGAATGATGTGGCTGTTCGGATCTCGCATTTAAAGTGTGGGTGTGAAGACAAATGCGTCTTTGCCCATGTGACTAAGGGGCACCCTGTAAAGCACAGCGTCTGCTCTACTCTACAGTACTACTCCTGTAGAGCCATGCCACTATAAGTCGGTACGCGAGCCGGGAATTGGGCCTGGAGATTTAAAAACACGCACAGAGACAGACAGAAAGAGACATGGACACGGGTCACCCTTGATACAAGAAAGCCAACTCGGGCAGCTTATATAGTGCTCTGGCCACACGCCTTTGTTTCAGCCCAGCATTTGGTCATAGCTGCCAGTACGGATGATGATTTAGAGCCAGATCTGGGCTCAGTGGAAAGTGCCAGCATTGCTAAGCAAAATGGGCTGATGTGTCCGCCAAATTAATAAACCAGGACTTTTTTACGTGTGAATTTAAACTGGTTCATGGCCTTATGTTGTGAGGGATAGAAGGGAGAGAATTCACCATCAGTTGCTGTTGTTTTTAATTGTCCCTGGTGGGTGTGTACTTGGGAGGAAATCAGGTGCAGTTAGGGAATCTGAGGGCCAAGGACACTGGGCTTGTGGAACTCTGGAGACTCCTGGTAGGGGCATGTAAGCAGGGTTCTGCCCTAGCTCATAGCTTTCAGCACAGTTTAGGATTCCCTATGGAGACATGCTTAAAAACTTTTTTGGTTTTGTTTTTTCAGAATGTGATCTCCATATGTAGCTCTTACTTAGTCTTGGAAGTTACTCTGTAGACCAGGCCACCCTTGAACTCACAAAGATGCATCTGCCTCCCAAGTACATGACTTTAAAGCACCACCACACCTGACCTGGCTTGTGCTTGGATTTCTTTCTTTTTTTTTTTTTTTGTTTTTTTTGTTTTGTTTGTTTGCTTGCTTGCTTGCTTTTTTGTGTATTTTGTTTTATATTGGTTTTTTGTTTTTCCAGATGGAGTTTCTCTGTAGCTTTGGTACCTGTCCTGGAACTAGCTCTTGTAGACCAGCCTGGCCTCAAACTCACAGAGATCCGCCTGCCTCCGCCTCCCGAGTGCTGGGATTAAAGGATTTAAGTCCTTTTTTCCTCCTGATCAAGTTTAATGTCAGGAAAACTGGACAAGTATTCAGGGTGTTTGGGGCAAGTGGATAGCTAAGGGAAAGAGTGCTATATTAATGGTTTGAGTCTCAGAGGTTTAAAAAGCTACCATGAAGAATCTCAGAGATTTTCTATTATTAAGATAAAGAAAACTTAACCCTACCCCCTGGCAATGGGCAGAGACATCTCCCTGGTGGTGTTGTTCCCACATCAGCCAGGGCAGAGCAGGTAGCAGTCCTTTGTTCATCCTAGCTAGAGGCCTGACTTAGTGGCCAAAGTTTCATGCCTAGGGCAAATTCAAAAAAAAAAAAAAAAAAAAACCAGACACACAGAAACTTAGGAAATAGTCAAGGAGCCTTGCCTGTAACCCAGCACTCAGGAGACTAATCCAGGGTCAGAATTTGAGACTGTCCTGGAGAGTATAGTAAGACTCTGTCTTTTTAAAACAAAAGTACAAGAAGTTTGCATTCTCACAGATTGGAAAGCATTCTTAGTATTTTTGTATCATTTTCTGTAGAGTGGTATGTTTCCCCTTATAATTGTATCTTTTTTTAATTGTTTTAGATTTATTTATCTTTTTTGAAAGATTTTTAAAGCATTTATCTAGCCATATCTACCTATATGGGTGTCTTGCCTTCATGAATGTCTGTGGACCACTGGTATGTCGGGTGCCTATAGAAACCAGAAGAGGATGTTGGATTCCCTGAATCTGGAATTAGAGACATCTGGGTGCTAAGAATCAAGCCCTAGTCCTCTAGAAGAGCAGCCTGTGTTCCTAGCCACTGACCCACATCTCTCCAGCCCCGAATTGTGTCTTTGTTTTGTTTTTCAAGACATGGTTTCTCTGTGTAGCTCTGGCTGTCCTGGAACTCTCTTTGTAGATCAGGCTGACCTGGAACTCGGAGAGAGCCACCTGCCTCTGCCTCCCAAATGCTAGGACTAAAGGGATGATGAGCCACAATGCCCAACACACATTTTCCATTTTACAGTGTCCTCTCATTCCCCTTCCTTCTCACCATTCCTTACATGAGGGTGCATGGCTTGGTCAGAAGCAAGGCCTATCCCCTCTGTTGGGCTGGGCAGGATTTCACAGTCCACCTCGACAGTTAGCCTGAAGTAAGCAAGCAGTTCTATTACATAAGTAACCTGGTTTCTACCAAATGTTGACATGCCCAAATGTGGAGAGGACAAGGAACCCTCTAAATTTAGCATGTAATTGGCATCCATGAAGAGTGAGGCCTTAAAGTAAACCCTTGGAGAGCCAGGCTTCTGCCGGCTTCTGTGTACTTGAGAGATAATATCCACCTCAGAAACCCATTTTCCAGCTGAGTCTGGCTTTGGCAGATTTCCCCTTCTGCCTACAGATAGATCACTTCCTTGTGTGCACTTAACCCTCCACAGCCCCGTTCAGACACTAGCCAGGCTGCTGATTTCATGTGACTCTAGCTTTATAACACATGTACTCATAATAACAACAGCAATCATTAGTTCTGTGTGCCAGATACTTTGCATATATTCTTATTTTTCTCAGTAAGCTATAAATTCACTTTTTCTCCATCACTATAAAAAAAAGGAAGCAGTTGCGTTGAATTATCTTGGTTCGAGAAATAAACAAGGTAGCTAAAAGATAGAACAGTTATATATTTATTTATTGTAAGGGGCAAACTCATGAAATAGGAACAAGAAATCCAAACTCGGATATGCTGCGAGGGAACCTCACGGAGAGGGCGCACCTGGGGCATGCCCTTTTTCTCCAGGTCCCAGAAAGCCACACCCTAACTTGGTCCCTCCTCTTAAAGTTAATTGGTTGACAGAGATTCCCCATCACAGTTGTCTGATTACTTAGCTAGTGAATCCGCCCTGGAGCTCCTCCCGGCTTCTCTGATTCCGGTGCTGCCAGCCACTCTGCCCTTGGTGGGCATGAGGGACAGTGGTTTGTGCATGACAGAAAAGAGGGCATGAGCACCGGCTAAGAGGCAGAGAAGGGTAGGGTTCTGTCTCTTGTCTAGAACAATTTTCTGTAGCCAAGGATGGTTTTGAATTCTTCTGTCTGCTCCTCCCAAGCGCTGGGTCTATAGGTGTGCGCCAATATGCCCAACTACTCAAGAGCTTTTACTCATTTGCTCTTGAGCCTAGACTATGAGGGTTGTTTGCTTAGAAGGTAGATGTAGCACCCGCACTACGAGACGGTACGTGAGCTGGGAACCGTGCTGGAGACTTAAAAACACACGCACACAGACAGAGACTTGGGGACATGGTTCATCCTTGATACAAGAATGCCCACTTTAGGGCTGGAGAGATGGCTCAGAGGTTAAGAGCATTGCCTGCTCTTCCAAAGGTCCTGAGTTCAATTCCCAGCAACCACATGGTGGCTCACAACCATCTGTAATGAGGTCTGGTGCCATCTTCTGGCCTGCAGGCATACACACAGACAGAATATTTTATACATATTAAATAAATAAGAAAACATTTCCTTAGTTCGAATTATAAAAAAAAAAGAATGCCCACTTTAGCCGCGCAGCGGTGGCGCACACCTTTAATCCCAGCACTTGGGAAGCTGAGACAGGCGGATCTCTGAGTTTGAGGCCAGCCTAGTCTATAAACGCTAGTTCCAGGCCAGGCTCCAAAGCTACTGAGAAACCTGTCTCAAAAAAACAAAAACTTTATTGTGCTCAGGGGCAGCTTATATAGGGCTCTGGCTACTCCCCAGCTCTTGATATCTTTCAGCTGCAGACTCACCAGAACCCACTCCCCTGCCATCAGGGTCTCGTGTTCAGAGCAGCTGTAGGCTGCTTAGAGCAGAGGAAAACAAGTTGTTTACAAGAAATTCAGGGCCTGGTGGTCCGCAGTCCCCAACAGGTAGAGGGTCTGGAACATCTCACAGCATATCCTGGGCTGGCCTATTCTCATGGCAGGGTTGCAGGTATACATACCGTGCCTAGCTTGTGTGGGTCTTAGAGTAAAAGTATACCTAGGTTTGTGCCTTTCCCCTGACTCTGCGTTTGCAGCCTATTACGAGCAAGCTGTACGAGTAACATGGATATGTTTATGTTTCTATAATTTCAGGATTTGGTTGGTTTTAAGCCACCAGATATTCTTTATTTACTTGGTAGAGTCCTAGTTTCTAAAACCCAGAGTATAGTTCAATAAACAAACATTCCCATTTCACTTCAAGACCAGTGTCCTCACCTACCTCTAAGGGATCTGCACTTGTCGTTATGGCCCCTTGCAGGTTCGTGTATGTGTGGGACACTACGAGCAGGAGGATCCTGTATAAGCTGCCTGGCCATGCTGGCTCCATCAATGAAGTGGCGTTCCACCCTGATGAGCCTATCAGTAAGTCCACATCTGCGACTGCTACAGAAGAGAAAGCAGCCTCTCCCTGGGACTTGAGGGACAGAGGCAGGCAGGGCTATTGTGTGAATCCGGTGCTAATTTGGGTTTTGAGGTATTTTGGTGTGGGGTTTTCAGGGGTTTGGGGTTTTTTGTTTGTTTTTTTTTTTTTTGTGGGGAGTTGGGTTTTTTTTGTTGTTGTTGTTATTTTGGTTTGGTTTGGTCTGGTGTTTTTGTTTTTGGGGTGGGGAGCTGGCCGTAAGAGAAGGCATTTGTCAGCATAAAGGGGGATGCCAGTGCTAAAGCAACCTAGGGTTTTCTTATTACATTAAGATTCGGATGAAACGCCCCCCCCCCCGCCTCCAGCCTCCAAACAGTTTTCTCTGTGTAGTCCTGGCTCTCCTGGAGCTCTGTAAACCAGGCTGGCCTCGAACTCAGAGATGTGCCTGCTTCTGCCTTCCAAGGGTTGGGATTAAAGGTGTTCTCCACCACCACCAGGCAAAACTAAAAGTATGTTTTCTCCAGCTAGGATCTTACTGTGGCCTTGGCTTGGCTGGTGTTCATTGTGTAGCCCCTGCTGATCTCATACTTGAGGGAATCTTCCTACCTGAGTTTCCCAAATACTGGGCTCTTCGGAGGAACCCAGCACATAAACCACAGGAAGGGATCTCAGGGAGAGTCAGTATGAAACAGTAGTAGTGTTGCAGTTTATTTCAGAAAAGTTTACTCTGCATTTAAGTGGGGTGCTAACGTGCCTAAAGGGAATGCAGGCATCTTCAGGGGGAGTTGCTGCCATCTATAGGCCAATCTTGGAATTGCAGTCCTAGATGGTGGTTGGCTTCAGTTCTCACCTCAGAGAAGGCTGGCTAAAAGACTTGAGTTCTTTTGACATTCTCAGTTCAGGTTCTCTCCATAATTTACTCTCTTGGAGTGGGAGGGACTGTAGACAAGAATGACTTGTGAATGTGTAGATTAAAATTATAATAAATTTGATTAGTTAAGCTTTAAATTTAAAGAAAGAACATGTTACCTTTCTCCAGGAGTATATATAGATTTTAAAAAAACCAAGCAGAAGCATATTGACTGAGTGGGTGGACACTTGTAATCCCACCCCTGGGTTGGTAGAAGCAGGAGGATTCCTAGAGGTTTGCGGCTAGCAGTCTACATCACAAGCTCTAGGTCAGCCCAGTGAATAAAGAGACTGAGAACCTTGTCTGAGAAAGCCTCAGCCCGAAAACATGCGCATACACCTGCACCTGTGTGTGTCTGACTTAGAAGAGCATGAGGTTCCCATAGCATAGCCATCCTTGGGGCTTCAAGGGGGCTTGGATTGAAAAGCCAGGCTGCAATTTCCTGTGTGCGTGTTTAGGAGAATTCAAGCTAAATCCAATTGCTCTTACATGTCACACATGTCACAATTGTCTCTTGACACAGGGCCCTTGAGCTCCAAGGGTTCCCAAGCCTTCACTTCTCCTGTCTTGTTCTTTTTCCCTTAGTCCTCTCAGCATCCAGTGACAAGAGGCTGTATATGGGTGAGATTCAGTGAAGATTTGGGATGAAAGGCTCCCCAGCTGTGTGACCTGAGGCTCATGCTACATTATGACCAGAGTCATATGGTGTCCAAGCTGACCTGCCGTCAGATGACCGTCATTAGCAAGCAGCTGGAGGTGATGGCCGTACTCCAGCAACCATTTGTACCCCATTTACAGAACAGCTGTGGCCTCTGGTACCACCTGCCACATTTCAGGGATTGGTTTCTTTCTTTCTTTTTTTTTTTTTTTAAATAAGACTTCTTCAGAGGGACAAACATTGGTTTGAGGTCTCCTGTTTTTTAACCTATGCTGGAAACAGGGAATGTCAGTTAAAATTTGTTGAATTTGTTTTCTGTTTATTTTAAATTGAGTAACTGGCTTGTATGATATTTTTCTTTCTTGTTTGAGTCATTTTGTATTAAAAATCCAAACAGATAACCTTTTTACAAGAACCTTGTGGCTTAGATTTCTTACTTCTTGCTGTCTTTTCTCTTGAGGCTTGATTGCTGTAAGTCACAGGAGTATATGTCTGGTAGATACGATCCAGTGACTCTGTTTACTTGGAGTCCCCCGCCCCCTTCTGTTGTAGGTTTCCTCACTATTGTGAAAATGACAAGGTGTAATTATCAGTAGCAGATACTTTCCTGTAATTACAAGCAGAGCGTCCAGAAGGTGATGAATGAGGTCCAGAAGGGCCTGGCCCTGGGTCTGTCTGCTCTGCCTCCTGCCCAAAGCCCTTTCCTTAGCAGCAGTCCTGTGCTCGGGGCTCCTGGGGAACAGAGCTGTGGCAGCCCCAGTTGGGGCCCTTGGCCAGAATGCAGCTTCATGAGCAGCCTAAGTGGGAGATGGGTGTTTTCCTAGGCTTTGACTGTGGCATTTTCTGAGACTCTTTATGATCCTGTTTACCTGTCTGACTTTGCTGATCTGACAGGGATGTTGAGAAACGCTGTCGTGTGCCTTCTAGAAACTAAGACAGCTTCCTCCCTCCCTTGGGTCTCTGGTTGACTGTCCAGCACACAGACAGGCACTAATGAATCCATCTGCCCCAAGGAAGTAGAATGTATATTTTTTTAACCTTCTATCTCAAAGCAAAAGTCTTCTTATCTTCATTAATTCTGGGCATGTTTGGCTTAGACTTTGGGCTCATGAACTTAAATCATATTTTTCATAAGTCAAAGAGGATGCTGCCGTGGGTTTAGAACATAGTCATTCAACACCACCAAGCCCTGTTATGTGACAGGCAAAGTCATCATTGCTGAGGACAGAGACGGGAAAGATCTTGTCCTTGCCCTCATGAGAAGTGCACAAACCAGTAGAAAATATTGTTGGAAATAAACTACTTTCTTTTTAACTGAGCACATGCCCGAGATTTATTTAACTTATTAATGAAGAAGTCAGCAGGATAGTAAAGCTCTCAGAGCAATTACTTTTAATACAGTGAATGAAGTTTGAATAAAGCACACTGGAAACACAGGGGGAAGCGATTTATCGTGCCTGTGAGAGAACAAAGAAGCATCCTGGATGCTGTGGTTATGCTTGCGTATGGACAGCAAACGAGGAGGGCTGTCTAAAACCAGACACAAACCTGAGGGGGTGGGGGTGTCTCAGGAGCCAGAGAAGTGTGCTTGGAGACAGGGGCAGCAAATCCCATAGCGTGGAAACTTCGGGTACTTGAGCCTGTAGAGTGAAGTCCCCCAAGGTGTGTTTCACAGACTTATCCCCTCGTCTGATATATTTGGGAAAGATGGCGGGGGGGGGGGGGAGGGGGGAGCGGTAAACAACATGAACCTGGTTTCATTACTTTGAGCCTTTACCATACAGAGTACTGTGTACTGTGCTATCAGGACAGGGCACGCAACTGTAATCCCAGCCCTTGGAATCCAGAGACAGGGACATCCTCTGCTACATAGCTAGTTGGAGGCCAGCCTGAGTTCGGGTGCTAGAAACGGAATAAAAATCCAGATGCAGTGGGACTCATTTATAATCCCAAACACTGGCACACCAATTTGAGAGCTGGGGATGGGGACTGTCCAGACGCTCACAGGCCAACTGGCCTGAACCCACACAGAGTGACAGACACGAGAAACCCTGCCTCAAAACGGGAACAAAGTGGAAGAAAGGAACTCACTACGCAGGGGCGAGTGTCTCGGAAGGGAATGGTGGCTGTCATCTGGCCTGGCACTAATTAATTACCTATATGGCTATGATGACCTTCTCCAGGAGAAACGTGGTCCCGAATGTCTTCAGCCTGATCTTCATTCCTCAGAAATCACGAGTAGCTTTTTTTTAAAATAATTTGTTTTTATTTTACATGCACCAGTATTTTGCTTGCGTGTATATTTGCGCAAGGGAGTTGGAGCCCCTGGAACTGGAGCTATGGATAGGTGTGAGCTGCCATGTGGATGCCAGGATTGAACCTGGGTCCTCTGGAAGAGCAGCCAGTGCTCATAACCACTGAGCCATCTCTCCAGCCTACAACTAGCTTTTTAACAACCCTTTTTTTTTCTTTTTATTTTTTTTTATTTTATTGTTAACAACCCTTTTTAAATGTGATTTTTTTTTAAAAAGATTTATTTCTTGTGTATAGTGTTCTGCCTGTGTGTGTACCTGCAGACCAGAAGAGGGCATCAGACCTCATTACAAATGGTTGTGAGCCACCATGTGGTTGCTGGGAATTGAACTCAGGACCTCTGAAAGAGCAGGCAGTGCTCTTAACCTTTGAGCCATCTCTCCAGGCCTTTAATTTTTAGTCTATGTGTATGTGTCTGTTTATCTGTATGTGCATCACGTGCATGCAGTACCCACAAAGGCCAGAGGAGGGCATCGGATCCTGGAGAGCTGTAGTTACAGGCAATTGTGAGGTACCTGGTATGGGTGCTGGGATCCGAACTCAGGTCTTCTGAAAAGACAGCAAATGCTCTTAGCCACAATGCCATCCTCCAGCCCTCTTTAACCCTTATTAACACCAGTTCCACATGCCTCAGTCCAGCCCCTTCTTCTCACCTCACTGTGTGTGTGTAAGCATGGTGTGTACGTGTGGGGACCTGTGCTGTGTCACATGTGAAGGGGACAGGTTAGTGGAGTTGATTCCATCCACCTTTCCATGGGTCACCACGATGCACATGTGGAGGTCAGAGAGTAACCTGGAGTTGGCTCTCTCTGGCCATGTGAAGCCCTTGGGTCGAACCCCAATTGTCAGGCTTAGCAACGCCTTTCCCCATGGAGCCATGTCACCAGCCTCTGGCACTGCGCTCTCAAAGGCCTCCCGGTCCCTTGAAGAGTCGGTGGTGACTGAAGGGTGGAAGGGCTCAGAGGCTGAGGGTGTTTCCTTCAACCCCTTCAGTCCTTCTTAGTTCTTACGGGGCTGAGTAGGAGCCATTAGCAGGAAATGGCCGTACCACTTAGGATTGAAGAGAACAGAAGCCCTAGCCTGGGAATAAAGATTTAAGAATAAAACATCTCCAGGGGGTGAAAATTGTCTCCTTACTTTGGGAGAGATAGATTGCTCCCGAATGAGTAATGGCATCTCTGGCTTTCAGTTAATTTCCCTTTATGACTTCAGTCTCGGGCACTTAATACTGCGGGCACTTAAAGCCAAACTTCTTTTTCACTGGGTGGCTTTTTGTAAGCTGAATTGTGAGGGAGGCGGGTTTTTAAGTCATCTTTTCTGCACACAAACGTGCACCGCCACAATTATCTCCTCTAGCCCGTGGCCCCTGTACCGTCTGTTTCCAGTGCCCCCACAGCTGGTTTGCAAACAGCTCATGAGAGCACAGGTTGCCTCTGTCTTCCTTCCCTAGTCCCCCTGGTTGCTCAGAGGGGCATACACATTTATTTATTATGTATACAATAGTCTGTGTGTATCCCTGCAGACCAGAAGAGGGCACCAGACCCCATTACAGATGGTTGTGAGCCACCATGTGGTCACTGGGAATTGAACTCAGGACCCTTGGAAGAGCAGTCAGTGCTCTTAACCTCTGAGCCATCTCTCCAGCCCTCTTGCTTTATTCTTTAACTTGGGTCAATTTTGTTCCTTAAGGGACATTTGATGGAACTTGAAGATCCCTGTGGGTGTCTGGCAGAGACCAAGGCCACACAGAGAATTTGCTGCTCCAGAAAGTCACTCGTCCGGTCTCTTTGGCCTCGGTGGCAGAAGCAAGATGACTAAAGGGACGTCATCCTTCTGAAAGCGTCGCAACAAGACGCACACATTGTGCCGCCGCTGTGGCTCTAAGGCCTACCACCTTCAGAAGTCTACCTGTGGCAAATGCGGCTACCCTGCCAAGCGCAAGAGAAAGTATAACTGGAGTGCCAGGGCTAAGAGACGAAACACCACCGGGACTGGGCGGATGAGGCACCTAAAAATTGTCTACTGAAGATTCAGGCATGGATTCCGTGAAGGGACAACCCCTAAACCCAAGAGGGCTGCTGTTGCAGCATCCAGTTCATCTTGAGGATTTCAATCTGTCATAAAATAAATGTTCTGGTTTCCAAAATTAAAAAAAAAAAAAGAAAAACAGTCATTCGTGATGCTGTTGAGAAAACCTGCTCTTTTATTTATTTTGTTTCCATAGAGGTGATTGAAGTCAGGGCTTCAGGAATGCTATGCAAAAAAATTTTTTTTTGTTTGGTTTTTCGAGACAGGGTTTCTCTGTGGCTTTGGAGCCTGTCCTGGAACTAGCTCTGTAGACCAGGATGGTCTCGAACTCACAGAGATCCGCCTGCCTCTGCCTCCCGAGTGCTGGGATTAAAGGCGTGCGCCACCACCGCCCGGTATATGCAAATATTTTTAAATAATTTATTTAACTTTATTTTATGTGCATTGGTGTGAAGGTATCATATCAGATCCTCTGGAACTGGTCTCCATGTGAATGCTGGGAATTGAACCCAGGTCCTATGGAAAAACAATCAGTGCTCTTAACCACTGAGCCATCATCTCTCCAGCCCCGCTATGAAGTATTTTATAACCATAGGGCAGTGATTCTAAAAGTGGACTTTCCTGGGCCAGCAACAGCAGCAACAGTCAGAACTTCTTAAACATGCAAATTCTAAAGGCCAGGCAGTGGTGGCACATACCTTTAATCCCAGCACTCAGAAAGCAGAGGCAGGAGGATCTCTGTGAGTTCAAGACCAGCTGGTCTACAGAGTGAGTTCCAGGACAGCCAGGGATACACAAAGAAATCCTGTCTAAAAGAGGAGGAGGAGGAAGAGGAGGAAAGAAGGAAGGAAGGAAGGAAGGAAGGAAGGAAGGAAGGAAGGAAGGAAGGAAGGAAGAAGAAGCAGCTTAAGGAGAAGGTGATGTTCAACAATCTGTAATTTCTTTGTAATGCTGGTAATTGAACCTCAGACTTCATATGCTAGGCAAGCGTTCAGCTGAAATACATTTCCCAGCCCGCAGCATCCTGGTGGAGCTGCTTCACCTTTGAGAAGCACTGTATTCAG